AAAAAAGCTAGCCCTACTCAAGCTCTACTGAATAAATCGGTTATTGAACCTCACTGTGCAACCTAACTGTGCTCTGACTCTGAGCCGACAAGGAAGATAGTCTCTTTTGCTAGTCGACCCGTCCTTCTATCACTTTTCTCGCTTCTTAGAAACAGAAACAGTTTCATGAGTTATTGAAAAATTAATTGAAAGCTGAAAACTTTGCCACTGTAGCTAGATAAAATCCAATACATGAGCCGAAAAATACATTTATTGCTAGGCATATGAAAAATTAGAATTTTTTGCTCAATTGTTTATCGACAACAATACGTCCTTAATCTTAACAAAACGTCTCGACAGATTTACCACTGGAGACAGCACCATGGTTGCCGTAGAAGGATGAAAAATCATTTTGAGTAGAAGTGATTCAAGTTCACTGGAAAATGGACCTTTTGAAGCAATTTTGCCTTTACAAAAAAATTAGATGGTTTCTCTTTATATAGGGACAGAATCTCTCACATTGAGTGGTTGGGATAAAGTCTTGATATCGGGACTAATAAGGAAGGCTGGGAGTTGGGAATAAAAAAGGAACATTTCCATAAATGCTGAAATTGGTTTTGCCGAAAAGCTTCATAGGGAAGACCATATCTTTGGTACAGTAGTCTTTGTGCTCCTTGAGTTATAAATGCTGATTCAATGTTTTCGCTGACCATATCATTGTTATAATCCAATGTTTTCACTTTACATGTTAGAAGATTGGGCAATTTCATCCCCTCGTGCTAATTTTAAATATTTATTTATTTATAAAGATTTTAAATATTTCCTTTCTCTTGGCCCTATTCTCTAAAATCCTGTTTATCTTCTTAATATAATCAAAAATGTTTCAAATAAGATCCTCGTTTCCATTGAAGGAACTATGTCACAGAATAGGAATTGGGCAGAAGGGGAACTCCTGCCTATCAGGTGGAGCCTGAAAAAACTTGCGCCTGCGTTAACTTATACGAGGCTTAGAATGTCGGGAAAATTTTAAAAAAGAATGAAAGTAGACAACTTTATTTAAGACGAAATGCCCCATGATAGTGAACAAATTCAAATATGTATCATAATTCGTTTATATCTGATTAATGAATGATAATTTTGTCGTGGCTAAGTTCGTCTAATGAAATCGAGGTTAAAGGGGAATTAAATAATTCTATTGTTGACTCAGGCTTCAAAAACAACAAAGGAACCGACGAGAGTTACCCTTCTGCCTATTTCCTATTCTGTGACTGTTTTCTTTATTATGATCTCTTCGTAGCGGGAGGACGCGATTGTAAAAATCTGCCCATATAATTCCTATCATAAAATAAGTGGAAATGTAAGGAGGTAACATAAGAGTTTGTATAAAGTTTTTGGCAAAGACTTTAGATGATTTTATATTGCTTGATAGTTGTATCAGGTTGTTTAGAAGTATCCCTCTCTTCTTTCGTCAAGTTAGGATGCTATGACAGTTCATATGAGACAGAGTCATCTATATAAATTTTTGCAGCTTGTACATGTAAAGGTTGTGCATTCGCGCAGTGATAAGTAATGTAAAGCTTGGTTCAAAAAACCTGTTAAAGCACAAGTTGGTTATAATTTTGTTTTTTAAATATGTTGTGCGGCCCCTTGAGTTTACGAGCAGATTATGATACCATATAAAACCTCAGCCTTCAAAATTTTTTGGGGCTAACTGCCACCTTGGCCCAGCTCGCTTTGCAAGACCATGTCCACAAATTAGGATTGATGGTTTATTCATTGTTTTAAATTTTTTAATGATATCCAGTTCAGTTACATCTAGTTGCCTTGTCTGTAAAACTATCTTCTGAAAATTCCCTAGTCATGAATATTACGTCAACACCCATTATTGTGAATTAATTGGGACTGACCACCCCATGAATCATTCTGAAAACTGTACGTAGATATTTTGTCCGCCTTGCGGAGACAATATTCTTCGAAAACATTTGACTCGTGTAAGAGAGCCCTATGACACCATATAAAACTGCCGAATATTTCTTGGGGATCCTATTTGTTTGTTGACCCAGTGGGAGGTACGGTCCTGTTTACACGGCCATAGCAACCACGTAGCAGTAGGTGTCGGCTAGGGGGGGGGGGGCAAACTCGAGCAAGAACCATACCTGAGGGGGCAGGCTTTAAAACAAGAAAACAGATATATAAAAAACAGATATATTTGGACAAAATCAAGGTCATGGAATTATATTTATGCCAAATTTTCAATTTAAATCATTTGGAAAAACTGTAGCCAAAGGGGGCAAGCTGTGGTCAAAATTTTCATTTGGGGGGCACAGCCCTCCGTGCCCCCTCCTGCAGCTACGTAGCTGGGCCATAGAGGTACCAGTTACACTATATTACTGTGTTATCCTACCTCTTTGGTATGGGCACTATTGTTTACGTTCCCTCTCGCACTCTTGTTCTAACTGACAGCAATGACTGACAGTAGCTTGTCCATTCTTACGTTACTCCTGTTCGACATGGAGCTCTTTTCAAAACCTTTGGTGTAAAGTGAAAAGCCTTGCCGCGGACCGTCTTTCATTTGAAAGCCGCAACCGTATTATAGAAGCCGTAAACCGTTGCGAATTTATACCGAAAGACGCAAAACGCACCTTTTGTTGAAACCGCAGTACGCAGATAAACCATGTTTAAATCCGGAGGCCGCAGGTAAAAATAGGGTCCAAGCCGTGAAGCCGCAAACCTATAATAGGCCTCCCTTAGGATGGTGCTAAAATATATTCATTCATCGATAGGCATCCTAGAGCTGGATGTAGCATACCAAGAAAGTAAGAAAAACTGGGCTACAAGGCTGCCGGACGCAGGCTCGAGCAGGAGGGGGGGTTTGCCAAATGGGGGAAAAAGGGCCAAGCATCATTTTTCTCCGTAACATTGGCTATTGCCAAAAATGGTACAGCTTTCATTGTAGTTCAGAAATTTAGAAAAATTTATCACAGTGCACATAGCAAGAAATGTCTTCGCTAGGGAGTAGACATGACAAAACCTGGACTTTAAAACAAAACTGGCTTCCGAACCTGACCTAATTAAGAATATTTTTTTGAAAATGGATGCCTGGAAGACATTTGTTCTGAAAAGTGCCTGTTCATTTAAACATACCATTGATTGGCGACGTTTCAGCCAAATTTGAAAGTGAAGTAAAAATTACCATAACTAATTGTTTTTTCCACCGTGAAGCATCGTGTAGTCGATAGAATAAAACAGTATGTTCCCCCTAGCATCAGGCAAAACAATTGTTTGCTAACACGGCCACGGCGTTTTGGAAAAAGTCGAATGCCCAAATAAGGTGCGATTGGGCCATTTGTCAACCTTAGCTCAAGAACCCGGAGTGCGCAACGATAGTGACGACAATTATGGAATTTTGGGCAAACAAGATCGTCTTATCACTTAAGCATTTTGCGATCTATCTGTAATAAAAGAAGAAATTTCGACTTATGTAGGCAAAAATATTTTGTTTTCTCTCTTAGACTCTTCAAGGCAACATTATTCAACCAATCCATGGCACCATTATTCAACTCACCTCACTTTCGGTTCGCATCTGGATATAACTTTCCCCACTCTTTTCGGTTATTGTCTGACGTTTATACTCTGAGGGATGTCGGAAGTAAAGCACCTTAGTATAAATGTTTTCCATTTCCAATGCTTTTAGATCAAAGATTCGATTCCAGATTTATCGAAGTCCTTTGGCTAGAAAAGATGCTGCTATAGTTCAAGTAAAAACCAAACTATTGAGATGTTTTAATGAATGGATTAAAAGACGCGGAGAAAAAGAATGCACTAGCTTCGTTACTGGTCACTCGGCCCATTTCTGTCATTAGTCTACTTGACTAGGTAGTCACGAAATATTTTGTTACATAGTGCAGCATTTCTATTTGCTGTTAAACTTGGTACAGGACGTACAGCATCGTGCAACAAATGTTGTGTGGCTAAACGATACAACATCGCAATGGCAACAATTATTGCACCATATTTTTATTGCAACTGATACATAATTTCATAGCAAGTAGAGTTAAAACACAAATGGGAGATTTACCAATTTTTCCACAAAATTGGGGACAAAGATGATGTTGTCTAATGTTTCATAATTCCAATTATGTACTTCATTTCCGATTACTGTATCCTGGGTACCAGAGCCGCAGTGTCAGCTTCAGCTTTACAAGAAGAATTTTTCCAGAGCTGGGTCAGTTACTTTTAAGATGTATCTGATAGCAGTTACAAAACAAATTGCCAAAATATATTCAAATGGAAAAAAAACATACAAATACTTCTCAAATAGTAAAATAGCTGCGAAGCACGTTTGTTATCGAATTCTTGAAATGTGATTGGTCAATAAGGTATGGAGAATTATAATCTCGTAACCAATCAAAGCTGTCTCCAACATTTTTTAAGTTGCGAGCCTCAAAATTGGTCAAAAGATATGAACAAATTAAAACAAGCTGAGGCCGAGCTACTGCAGAATTTAATTTGGAACAATGTTTCATCTCAAAACAAGAAGGTTTTTTGTAAACTATTGGTGGTTTTTAGGTGATTTTTCAAGCTTGCCGCCAAATAAGGGGTCTTTCACTCATTTTGTTAGCAAACGAGGCCTGAACACCTCCCTAGAGCACAACAGCTAGCTAATACACCGCGTACACCCGCATAATTCAAGAACAAATTAAGAACAATCCAGCCTCAGATTTTCGAAAAAATCAAGAACAGCCAGCCTAAGCTTCAATTTACTAGTTCTTAAAAAAAGGGGTGGGTGTATAGGTAATACAATTCTATCTAAATCATTGAAACGTGTACATGTCATTAGAAATGCTGAAATATTCTAGCTATTGTGGATTTAAATAGTCGTTTTTAGAATCTCAAACGGATCAAGCTATACCAATTTAAAAAAGAGAAAATGTTTGTCAGTGAACAGTTTTTTTCATTGTAAATGTAACCACTGATCTTTTTTTGAGATCAGTGATTGTAACATTTTTCAGAATTTTCCTGCCGCCGAATTCTGAAAAGGAGACCACTTCACTTGAAATCGAGAGCAAACCATAAGGTCCTTCTAACTGAAGAACAATAATAACCTGAAACCGAAGAAAGGTCATTCTCATCATGTGATGTTATTGTCGATCAACTTTAGTGGAGATTCAGGTAAAGGTGTACGTCTAGTGTTTTTCAACAATATTGTTTGTTTTGCACATTAGCACCTTATCGAAAATGTTGTCCTTAAACGCATTCCAGATATATTGTTACATGTTTGTGTGTTAATATGAAATTTCAATTATGATGATGCAATTAGGCTATAGATAATTGAAGGCGCACTATTCATGCTCCAAATATATATAAGCGTAAAGAATCTAGAATACCTTACAGTTTATGCACTTTTATACCCATTTATTTATTTACCTCAAGTCTTAGGTTGCATTATTTAACAATTTGAATTGAAAATAATTGTAAATTTTGTTATTATCAAAGTCAATTCATCTTTCATCTCACGACTGAGATTGTTTTCGTCTTTTTTTTCGAGTAATGACCTTATATTTTGTTCTGAATGTCGCAGGCAACAGTCTTGAAATCCTTTTCTAACGACCTTGATTGAGTTGGCTGGCCTTTTGTTCACCTGTGAACTAGACTCACATATTAATATAGTTCTCTGTTTATACACCAAAAGTGGATATGAAGCCTTCAAGTAATTGAAACTGCAAGAAATAGTTGCAAAAAACGTTAATATCAATTTCATGTCGTTTTGATATAACTAGAATTAAGTATTTTTCAACAATTTATGGCATGTTTACTTGTTAGAAACTTTCACTAAGTGACTTGAAAGTACATAAGAAGACATGGTTTTTTGCAACTTTTTTTGTTCATTATTTTTTCCAGGTCAAGCTTAAGCAGGCAAAGCAAAGTATGATGGTGCAACGCAACTAGAGATTTAAATGACATTCTTGTGAATTTCAATGGATGAAAACAAAGGACAAGATGGGGTGAATGGAAACCGTATTTTAAAAAGGCTTGCATCAATTAAAATTTCTGAACAAGAAAAAAGCCAAATTTATCCAAAAAATGGAGTTCCTTATGTTAGATATCCATCATATGAGAGTACAGCTGAAATAAAACCATCAGTTCTTGAAAATGTCAGGAACCTATTCAAAACATGGAGGGATAAAACATATAGAATGCGGGAATCACAACTTAGGGCAAAGCGACAAAGGCAACTTTTAAATGAAGAGCAAAAGATGAGACATAAACTTGAGTATCATTTCATGACTCCTTTTGAGAAATATAAAAGAGGGAGAAAGCCTTGGAAACTTGCAATTCAGATCTTGAAAATTATCATTGTCACTATACAGGTGAGTGTTTACTTTCATCCTAAAAAATATTTGTGTGTTTCATTGTTAGTGGAATGTTCGGCTTATGAAACAGTTCTATGTTGATAAGTACATTTGGCTATTTTGGCTCATGAGCTCTTTGATAAGAAGCCAGCACACCAAATTTACTATAGTGCTACTAAAAGAGAACTTCTGATAGCACTATAGTAAGCACTGCAGAACATGCCATATGAATAGTTAAATAAGGTTTGCATACAGAAAATTTGACTGAAAGACTATGCACATGCATGATCTTGATGGGAACAGCCTTCTTTGCTGACTGGACTAGAAGGTTGATTCTATTTATAATTTAGCCATGAGTTAAGTGGCTAGGGAGGACAAAGCCACTCCTGTTATATGATGTTAAAAAAGTTAAGTATTTTCAAGATTAATTTATGCCCCTAGGGGGGGGGGTTAAAGAGGTTTTCAGAAATTTTTAACCATTTGCCCAAATCGATCCAATTGCCCCAAGACTGTAGTCCAAGTTGCCTCATCTTACCAATGTCAAAGGTAAATCTAATCAAATTAAATGATCTTTGTGACATCATCAAAATGATATTGTCAATACACAAACACTTTACACTATGCCACTAAGTATACTGGTTGGTGATTTATCTTTCAAACATTTACTTGATATGAATTCCTTTTGATTCTTTTTCTATATATTGAGAGCTCAGGATTATTTCAATAACTGATATCACATTAAGTATACAGCCCATAACTGTCATAATGTCACTTTTAAAATAGTTGTTCACTGGATGTTCAGCAATCTGTAAACAATATAAATATGTTAGATGTGTAGATGAGTGGAAAAAAATATTTCTCATCTCTGATACATAGGTAGCTAATTAGTAAGTCAGGATTTTTTAGATAGACAAGATAAACCTGGAAAATTGTTCAGGAGTATGTAGTACCACAACAAGAGGTTTTGTTAAGAGGGGAGGCTGATTCCAACTGTGCTAAAGACCTCAGCGAGTTGCTAGTTCCATTGGCTGGTATTTTTCTCTTAAATATTTTGTATTTTGCTTTTTATTTCATTAAAAAAGAAAGGAAACTATTCTATTAATTGTTTTTTAATCTTATCCTCTAATTTGTTTGCTAGGTCAGTCTCTTTGCATTGGACAGATTTGCCTTTGTTACATATTTCAAGCACACTGAAGATGCATTTCATCATTTATTTGTAAAAGGCTGGAGTGACAATCAATTTATATCATTCTACAGCAGACAAGAATTCTTGGATGGCATTAATTTTGTTAAAGCAAGAGTAAGTTAAAAATTCATGTAGTTTATCATGAGATTCATGTTCTTCTAACAGTGAAAGGTTTATGTATTTTCATAAAAGATACATTTTAGGCTGCAGATGAAGACTTCTTGCCTTACCTCTGAGGCCTTGCTACAAACATGTCAGGAATAAAAACGAAAGGAGTGGGGGATCATGTTCATTGAAATAAATAGGGATCGTGACAAGTCAAAATGTAAAAAATAATGAGTTCTAATAAACAGAAGAGTTTTCCTTTTATGACAAAAAGTGATCGCAATGACATTTCTTATTAACCTTGTCATCAATTAAACAAGGGATTGAAATAAAGAGTGGGAGGTCTTCAAGAATCCCAAAAATAAGATGGACATTCCCAACCTCAATAATGAATTGAAACATTAAGAAACTCAGATTGCTAAAGCATAGGTGAAATGTATTTTGAAAAAAGCATGGATTATTCTTAATATAAAGATTATACCTAATAAAACATTAAGCTAGAAAAGCTGATCATGGTATTGGGATTGAAGTCATGTAATCACCTTTGGGTGCAATCTGTCTTTTCTATGGAAGTGGGAACATTATGGCAAGTTGCAAATTTTAAGTGTATTTGCTTGGTAAAAGTTTGTTATTTAAGGACATGCTCAATTGTTTTTTATTTTTGCAATGTATAAACTTCATTTTAGTATGAAAATGTGAAGGATCTGGCCATTGGAGCTTATGCTTACCCAGGAAGCAATCACACATTCAAGCCAATTTTGTATTGTACAAATTATGGAAAAACTAACAATTCATCAGCCAAGGATGCCAGGGAGGATAATGAAGCAATGCAAGGTATGATTTTGGATATACAGTCTTAAGTATCTTAAAATCTCTCAAACAGGGTGCATTAAGGGCACAACAAATGATTTAAAGTGTTTATGCAGCCAATCTTTGCACAGTGATTTTATTCAAAAATTGAATAGTTTTGGATGATGTTATAATCTAAAGTTTTAGTTGATATTAAGTAACAAACCTTTAAAATCAAACAAATTTTTGGTGAGAAAACTGAAAATGTCCTGTGAAGTCATGATGCTCCTGTCGAACAACATGCTTCATTCTGATATCCTGCTAAAATACACAATTAGGCAATGACTCCATGATCACTGCTGGATCACACGGAAATATTAAAATTGAGTCCTTTAAACTTTCTCTTCAACCCTATCCAGTGTTGGGGCTGCGATGGCCCTCCTGGTGTGGGCAGTCCTCTCTCACTCTTCCGGTCCTCTGCACTTTGTGATGGAGCTGCGATGGCTCCCCTGTGTATCTGGTAAAAGAGAGGGTCAGTGCGGGTGAATGACTCGGCCCTGGGTGTTGGCTTGAAAGCACAACCCGATAGCTCAGCGGTAGAGCACTTGTCGTACAAAGTCAGGGGTTGTGAGTTCGAGCCTCGCTCGGGTTGGTTATTTTCCCGCACTCTCTATTAATTATCTTCAAAAATCCTGTTGTCTTTAAACTGAGTCCTTTGAAGATAACTTGGACTGCAGGCTCTTAAACATATGAATGCTAACCTTTTGCCATTTCTGCAAACTTGATTTTGGGATATTTATCTTTACTTCATTTGGTTGTAAATTTACGGGTTCTTTTTGAGTTTTCAAGCCTGTGACATGCAGTTGTGATACCTGTGATATGCAGCAGGTACAGGATCTTCAACAGATGGGGGTAGCCAGGGCAAGTGCCCCAGGCCCTGGCCCATTCTGGGGCCTGTAATTACAGGGCCTGTGTCTATTCAAGTTCTGATATTCTGAAATCTATATTCGTTGTCAAGCAAGGGGTCTACATGCAAACGCACTGGTGTTTGCCCTAGGGCCTAGCTTTGCTCTCAGCAGTCCTGAAGGGGTAGTTTGCAGATTAATAACCTCACTACTTTTGTCAAAACATGGTTTAATGTAATTCCTCTGAAATTTGATATAGGTGTAGGCCATATTTCTCAAGATATACCTCTGGAAAATACACCTAGTTTACAGTACTGAAATGGGGAGAAAAGGGGCCATCTCACTGGTCACTCCTATACCCTGTTACTTTGCAGTGTCTGTGAGATGGTCACTGGCCACATGCCAGTATAACTTTTGGCTTCTTCTAGCATATTCTGCTGTAATTAGAATATTATTGGGAGTTTGTCTCACTCTCTTCATTACCAAATCTGGACAATGATTGTTATTTTTGTGCTATTTTTGTATTGTCTCTCGCCTACAAGATTGGAGGACCTGTTAGATTTCACATTAATCACTGTTGTGACCTGTCAGGTGGGTCCATAGAGTTGTAAATGTAAATACTTTGATAAGGGTGCCTGTCTCAAATCAGAATTCCTCTGGTCCTGATAATATTAATTGGGTTGCCTAGGAACAGCCTATTGTGTGACTTTTAGACCTTTGCTGCAATTGTTGTTATTGAAGATAATTCCTCAAAATTCAGCTACTTTGATTGTTAAAAATTTTTTTCCTTTCAGTTTGCAAGAGAATGGACTCAAATTTTACCCCATCATTGCTAGCTTTTGAAAAAAGATATTTTGAAAGGCAAGTGTATCTTTTTCATTTTCACTGCAGTTCCATAATTAATTGGCACTCCTTTATTTTTGCTGGATGCACCCACTCTAGAAATATCCCATTTTGTTGATAGTCAAAACAATTTTGTTAGCTGTTTTTCAAACTGCACCCATATTATTGTAACACTGTACATATTTGTTCATCAGTACTCAACTTTCATCCATGTTGTCGTAATCAATGTTAACAAACTTGTCTTTGTATGACATATGTTCACAGAAAAATCCTTTTTATCAGAACTTTAACAAAAGATTCTGCTTCTTTGTATCTGGGCACTTATTTTCACATACTGTTGCTTTTTAGAATGGAATCAGTAGAGCTGAATTTCCAGCTGAAGTCTATCTATTTGGCTGGACTTAAACTGCTACGCAAATCTGAATGTTTTATTTTCAACATATCAGTAAGTACAACTATTTTGACACCTAATGAAAAAAAAATACTTTAGGTTTGAAAATGGTTCTTTATTCCGTCATTTCATCAATGAGCTGTTACTTTTAGTAAGGAAGACATTTGGGGAAAATAAGAAAAATTGTTTTTGATGTATATTCCTCTGATAAAATGCAAATGCTCTTTTTAACTATGAGAAAATTTTACAGGCAATATTTGTGCATGAAATTTTGGACCACCAAAAATTATGCGCCATAAATTTCGGACAATTTTTAAACGTCCGGAATTTGCGTGGATGCCTATTATCTAAAATAATATTCGAATTGTTAATTCAAAAGAATGATAGCCATGCTACCCCCGTCTCTCTAAAGCAAGTTTTAACAAGATTAAAGTCCCCTTTTTTTCATTCAAATGCGAATTTTTTTCGAGGAATTGTCACAATTTTATTATTGGCTTTTTGGTTTTTTGGTAGATAAAAATTGACAATACCAAACATGATGGTCGACTGCCAGTTGAGCTGACGACAGAGCATGATATTTGGACAGATGACTGCCCTCGCTACAAAAACGGTTCGCATACTTTCAGATACACCAATATGTTCCATACCATGCTCGTATGAATAAGAACCATAGAGATGAAAGGAGGGAAACATGTTCTCATTCCCTAGCTGCCCATCGATGAAAGAAATACATAACAAAGGTCTACGAGCGACAAAAAATCAGGAGTTTAGGCCTGTTTTGTTCCAAAATGATACCCAATTATGGTTCATATATTTGCACGATTGGCTGTTAATCCCGATATTTTGTTCAACCCTAGTGGCTGCTGCTGCATGCCACTCTCCGCCCAGCCCAGGCCCCCCAATTCGTACTCTTTTGAAACAGAACGAATGAGAAACAAACATTTCTCCTAAGTGTTGTTAATATGTTTGGGGTCCCATTCTGCCTATCTGCTGTTTTTAAGCAGCATTTTTTAAGCAACGGCTAACTCTTCTTTAATCGTTGGCAGATAGATACAGCCAACCAAAATATCCTATTATCAGCTGCAGAAATGTCTTTAGAATTTCTATGTGGGATTCAAAAGAAGCGGATTTCCATTTTAAAAGATAACTTTGAGAATTGACAAATTGCTCCCCCAAAATTTGTGATGATTGCATAATTCATCGTCCTTCAATCTTGCCAATAGACTCCGAAAGAGTAAACCTATGTAATTTTTATAGAGAATGTGTATGTTTTTGACGTTCTTGACTAAAGATCATTACAGTGTTTTAAGTGATCGTTAAACTGATTTTCGTATCAGCGAGAGAATATTCAGACAAATTTGAAAATGTGTTTTTTGAATCGCTCATCATGCCGCCAAAACGTTTCTTTTCAAGCATGCCAATTGTCTGACTATCTTCTCTCTGATACCAAAAATTTTGCCTCAAGACATGGTCTTGAATTTTGAATTTTCTATCCATATCCTAAATACCCAAATGCACGCACAGTTTTCTTTGATCAATGCAATCATGATCGAACATAAGTTAGTCAAAAATACAAATTTCGCACCGCAAGTCCATAACAAAGCTTTGCCTTGTGCCCTCTCTAAATTGACATTTTGCTTCCAAGTGCTCTCCTCCTGCCCTTGTTTAATAACTCATTAAGTCAATACACACTCTGCCTCTATCCACATATGCTTTTATTTCTTTCGTAGACGCAAAACTGGTTGCTGGGTCGTTGGAGGCCTTTGACATTTTTGTAATTCTCATATGTGCCATATCATGCTCGCTATGTATTCGCTCTGTTGTAAAATCAATTAAACTTGCAAAGGTTAGTAAATTCTTAAACAATTCTTAGCCTGCTTTGATTGCTTTATATTCTGTGATTTAAAGAACCCCTCGCCGAGGGACTTCGCGGAGAACATTGCTATAAGGGACACGGCTAATTATCTATTCATCATAATTTTCGCATACTGTTTTTTAATAATTGTCAGTAGTGTTTCATACTGTTTTGTTTTTAGTGCTTTTTTATCAATTTTCTCTAATTCTTCGTTTTACCTCAGAAGGTATTAATTATCGATGAAAACTGAAAACTATGAGAATGTGAAGTTTTAAGAAAAAGCAGAATAGTTTTTAAAATTTTACCACTAGATAATCTTTACAATTTGTAGCTGTGTAGCAAATTCAGATAAAACTTCTTTTATGCTTTATACAAATTCTGTTCTTCGGGTGAGTGCCTTAAATGAACACACCTTTCCATTGTTTCTATATACTCTTTCCTTGAAGAAGCATCTGTTTTCCTTGCCCGCTCATTTTTATTTGAAGGGTATTCTTTCTTTCAATTCCCATCTCTCTATCTGCCATGATAACTGGTCTTTTGGAAAGTATTCTACTTTATTCAAATTGAGGTATCCTACAATTAAACCTTACTAGGTATTAAATTTGGTGTCGACTTCTTTTTTAGAAAGCTAAAGGGTACTTCAAGGAATACAGGGACGAAGTTCTGACAAGATGGGACATGCTTCAGTTCATAAACAAATGGTTTATTGTTATCGTCATCAGTGACTGCTTGTCAATCACTGGTTCCTTTTACAAAGTCCTGATTGATGAACGAGTAAGAATTATTTTGCTTCCCATCCCATTGCTGTTGTTGAAATTTTTCTAAGGTTTTTAGACACTTTTTAACAGCTATCGAGCTCTTTTCGTGCTTTTTTGAAGGGCTTGGTTCCTTTGCAAGTATCCCGTGTGGGTTTGTCACATTCATCCATTTTTTAGGAGCCATGCCTCAAGTGATGTACACACTCTTTAATTTAGTAGCTTCTATAATAAGTGGGGAAAATGCAAAGCTGCCAGTGTTGCTGGATCGTCTCTTAATTTCCAATGACAGAGAATGTCTTTAAGTTTGTTTGTTCAGTGATAATTATCATTATCAGCAACTTAATGAAAATGGACTCTATAAACAATACTGAATGACATATATGGAAAGGTTTACACGATGAATCAAGTAAATAGAAAGTTTTACAACAGCTCAACCTTACTCAAGTATCGGCCACGTTATCTGCTATTGTATTATTAGCATTTCTACTCTAGGCACGAATAGAATTTCCAAGGTGATATCACGGATGTGGTCACCAAGTGGGTCACAAACGCTAGAAAATATCTATAGGGGGTTCCTGTTAAGGGGGTAATAAATAGAAATGGGATTAAGCATCGAGACATAGTTTCGATAAGGACGAGCTTTATTCCTTTTCAACTTCGGCTACAGAAAGTTGACCCTTCTTATCAGTTGTCCTTGCTGGAACTACTGCGCAACGCTTTACTTTTGCTTTAGATTTTGCCCTTCATTCTTTTTACAAACCAGGCTGCAGTTTTTGGACTCGTTTATCTCTTTAATTTCTTAGTCATTTTGCTTTTTTAACGTAAAATTTTCAAACTTTTACAAGCAACCTCTTCCTAGGGACTGGGGAAGTTAGGGGGAGCTAAAGAGGCTTAACCCCCTCTCTAATAATTTCAAAACTGTGCAAAAATTGCCTTGATCTTGTTTTTTGGCATGTTTAGTCCCCCCTCCCCAAAAAAAATTTTTTGCCCCCTCAATCCGTGAAATGCTCCGATTCCCTTGCCCTTCCCTAAAACATAACGATAGTTGCCTAATTTGTCCTCTGCCTGCCAAGCTGTGTGTTAACGTATCTTAATTTTTCTTTGCTTCAGGACATGGATTACTACAACCCGTGCAGTATTGTGTTTGGAGTTGCAGTTTTGCTTGTTTGGATTGGATTGTTGCGCTTTCTCACATATTTAAAAGCATACAATGTGAGTCCATTCTCTTTAGCATTGTTGCCTCACTCAAATTGAGTGACTAAACACCTGCCCTATTAGTCTCGTGAATAATACGAATTGCATAGGTTTTTTTTGCACTGAAGTAAAGTACCGTAAATCCTCGAATTAGCCCCCTTGCACAGAATGGCGTGATTTTACGTCAAGGTTTTTTGTCGTATATGACATATCTCAAAATCTGGCACATCAGAAAATTGATTGACAGTGTCTTCAAACTTTTATGTTAAATCGTTTATAGAATAGAACGCCGGGAGAAGTTCTGCCATTTTTTGCAAGAAAAGTTCTGTCATTTTATTTGCAAAAAGAGTTTCTTCCATTATGTTTGCTAAAGAATTTCTGCCATTTTGTTGCAAGAGAATTTCTACAATTTTGTTTGCAAAGAGAAATTCTACCATTTTTTTGCAAAGAAAATTTCTACCATTTTGTTTGCAAAGAGAAATTCTACCATTTTGTTTGCAAGAGAATAACTGCCACTTTGTAATGATGCACTACAGCGCTCCTTGTTGGAGACTTCCTAGATTCCAAGACTAATACAAATCATGCGAAAAAGAAAGGGTTTTAACTACTCTGCACTTAGAGCTTGAAACGACGTTCTTATTGATATTAGAGAACCCCCAACTATTAGTTGCTTTGAAATCAATAAAAAGAGGACTTGAAAAGCTGCCTGACTGCCTCAATTTAAACACGATCTTTTAAATTCAACTGTATGTAATGTAATGTAATGTATTTGGTTTAAAGATTTTATCAGGGTAGCTGATGGGTTGTTATGTGTCTAAAGAAGTTTTTACACTTGATTGACGTGAAGAAAAACTTAGTATAAGATAATGTGTATAACAAAACAGTAGTTAGTCTAGCAAATTGATGATGATGACGTCTTTTTTCGTCAGATTCTCATGATAACACTGCGAGTGGCGACACCGAATCTTCTTCGATTTATCTCCTGTGTGATATTTATTTTTATTGGGTTCACTTTCTGTGGCTGGATCGTTCTTGGACCCTACCATACCAAGGTATGCATCTTTGACCGTCAATTTTGACTCTTTTGAATCCCTGAGTTTAATGCCTGTATATCTAGAAATATTCTTAGCTTTTTTATGAAAGTTTTCGTTAGAGAGGAAACCCAGAGTTTGGTAGCATTATTCCCATTAGAAACTTTCAATTTGATTGTATGTGCCCACAATTATCCTTTGACTTATACAAGGAATTATAGCTACTTCGGATTTATCGTCGAAAAGTTCTTTGGAGATTACAGTTTTTGAGTGCAAAGTATAAAAAAATTCAAACTTTGAGTCACAATAATAAAGCGATATTTTTTACGTCACTAATTAACGAAGCTGGAGAAGAGGAGTTTCTTTCAACTCAAGAAATGTTTTTTATTAAATTTTCAAATTTAAACCTTATGGTATAATTGTTCTCAAAATGATCTTCTCCTCTTCTTATTTTTCCATCAAGTGCTGTCTCTTCACCAAACAAACCACCCCTCCTTCCTCGCTCGAGTTAGTCGCCATCAAAAAATGTCCCAGAGTAATAAATCCACCAGGGGGGGGGGGCTAATTCACTGACTTTTGGTAAACGCTTTCTGTTACCTCTTGAATATGTTTGAAAGAACCGCAAAATCGACTTTACTTTAAATAGTATGTCATTCCTACCTCGCAGTTTCGCACCATGCTTCTTACGATGGAATGCCTGTTCTCACTCCTTAATGGCGATGACATGTATCCTACATTCACAAATGTTGAAAGAAGCTCGGGCACTGCCGTCTTGATATTCAGCAAACTATACCTCTACGGTTTCATCTCGTTTTTCATCTATGTCGTACTCAGTACATTTATTGGTATAGTTGGAGATACCTACGAGAGATTGAAGGTAAGGGATCTCAAGTATTGTAGGTCTACATGTAATTGATATATTTAGCAGTTTTCTAGCATCCAGAAAGATTGTTCTCCCCCCCCCTCCCCCCGACCCCCAAGTTTCTGCCTTTACTTGATAAGCGGGTTCTGGGTTTGCAGAAATCAAAATGCAAGTATCAAAATGACTTTGGTAATGAGAAGAACGAAAATACTCGTAGAGCTCTTGGTAGGTTTTTGAATCGGAGGGTGTCTGAGTGCTGTTGCTGCTTTACTTCATCTTAAGAGGACTTCAGTTTACTGACTCCAAGGCCCATTGTTGTGAAACATACTCAACCCATAGCTAGAAGCTTATAACTTTAAGATATACGCAGAGAAATTTTATATCTTTCTTGTCACCCTGCAGAATCACATAATAACATTTTTAGGTCTAACACACAGGAACTCCTTTCGTAACAGGATTTGGGACGGCTACCAGCGACCAGAATTGAACGTTTCATTATTGGAAGACACAGAGACCCAATTCGAAGAAGCATCGCTCACAATTCCTGTCGTGGCTGGTAAGAGCCTACGTAATGCTAGATAAAGTGTTAGCTCACACATTACCTTTTTGGGCAACACTACTTATACCATCTAATATCCGTATTAGAAATTTTAGATTTTCATTTATCTTATATTATTTTTGAATATATTATGTTGAATTAATTTATGTCTATCGCGTCTTTTTTCAGCGTGCGTTCCGCGGGTCATGCTTCCGGTACATCAAGTCCAATCACCATTTCATGCCTCGATGAATCTATAGAGGCATCTTTAAGATCCACGTTAGAGGACAGCCAAGTGTCAGTCGAGTCGGCTTCTTTGGAGTAGGAAACAATACACAGGATAAGTTGTATTTTTAATTGTTTGATTTTAATGATTATAATTGTGTAACTATGTAAAAACGACGATGCTGGAGGAGCAATTTATGCGCTGTCTACTCGGTCTACCCTATCGGTTTTTAGACATTATTCAATTAGATTCAAACGTGAACGCCTGTTGAATTTCTGATGCATTACACAAGATTTTGAGTATGTTTGACATCTCTCCTCTTTCCCTTTTAAACGATTATAAAATGCATTTTTATACAGGTGAAAAGTACTGTTATCTCCAAGAACCATATTATAATGATAATATATTATAATGGTAATATGGTTCTTGAATGATAAAATAATGAAAATAATGATAAAGCAATTCTAGAGCAATGTAAACCTAGTCTTGGTTTACTTTGTTTTAGAATTACATTTCCACCAAATCGTTTCTAAAAGAATATCTCATTTCAAAAATTATTTTCCAATTTCATTTCAAAAATTATTCTCCGACCGCTGTCTTCTCTTCAAATGTTTTGAACATGATCGATGGTGACGTTAAGGCTTCAGTTCTCTCCAATTGACTATTATTTAACGCTTATAACATCAGACTTTTTAATTAAAATGTTAAAAAAGCGCTTTTACATTCAACAGCAGAGTTTCGTCAAGACTTGTGTTTGTAATTTTCATTCAGTTTTGAGCTTTGATATAATTTTTGTAATTACGCATGGTAGACTTCATTTTTATTTATATGGTTGTAAAAATTTTGGCAACAATTAATAATCATCTATGATAATGTCAATCATCTGTCTAAATTTTATGATTTAAATCTAACATACTATTGCATTTGTCTTCCTGCAAAAAAATTTTCTCTTAAAATGCATTCTTCCCTAAATAATTCTAAAGACGGATGTGGCTTTGCCAGGCTTGACCACAACAGCCGGGGTAATCCAGGTCCTCTTTACACGAATTAGTTTGTCCAATGAACATGCAATTATATATCAGCGTTTTTCTACAGATTTTGAAGAATGTATCAACTAATCATAGTTATCATAGACAATTGAAAGTGATGGAATTATTCAAATGATCATAAAATAATCATCTATGATTACTAATCACGATTTGTTTTTCATGATTGGATATGAATACAAGTATCATTGCCAAAAGATGTATCCAATAAAACCTCTGTTACATTTGGCTTTCTTGTTTCCAGTAAGATGTTTGATGTGACTCGTTGAGCAATATTTTAAATGAGATAACATGGAGATTTGTAGACAGGGGTGACTTGGAGGGGAGTTCAGCCCCCCTCCCATGTTAAAATTCAGAGAGTTTTCGGGGCTCTGCTGCCTGAGGGGGACAAGTGAGCACAGGTTTGTTTAGACGAATCCTATGTTGGCCACCCCCACATATTTTCCTTGAATTAGCAATTCCCTATCAGTTTTTTGAGGCCGGTGAATTGCTTGAATGATTCCATACATACAACAGACAATTGTAAACAGGAATGCAAGTATTTTGGGTGTGATACTGGATGTGGTCATGGATGAAGCTTTTAGAAATTGCCTACAACACAGCCCCCTCCTAAGTCTTAAGAAAAGCACCCCTGCTTGTAGATCTGTATTAATTACCAGGAATGGCAGTTTATGACAAGTTCTTAGATTAAGTAGTAAAATGTACAAGCAACGGTTTTCGGTTTCCAGGATGAATTGTTCGAACAGTTTTGTATGCCATATCTCCTTCAGCTTGGTTTGTGCATGAAATAGATCTGTGCAAACGTTGCTGAACCAAGGTTGATAGATGAGGGGAAATAACTTTGAAATGGCGGAGCGATGTTAAATGAAAGTGCTTTATTGCTGTAAAGTGTCATGAAGAATAAATGATAGTTTAAGGGTCAGACAGATTAAATGACATTATTTTCATTTCTATGTGCTACCTGCTGCTTCATTTTTGTAGCTACCTTTTGTACAGCAATCATTAGAATTGTCGAAAAATGGAGTTTGAAGTTCGAATTAGGAACAAGTATTGTAAAGAATTATGTTGCTTAATTGGTTATAGTAATTGTACTGGTGTACTTGGTGTATTAGACGATTGATCGGGGATGATGAAAGTCGGAAACGTGGAAGAACACAAGGTAGTTGGAAGCTGCTTAAAGCCTATGTCTTATTCTGATTCTGTCAAGCAAGCAACCCCACGAAATGGCAGTGATAAAGACGCGACAAGACCAGTAGCAGTAAAAACTAAGGAGCAGCTGAAAATGATAGAGGGCCTTAAAAGGGAGAAAGAAAAACTCAAAAAGTCGTTGGATATTATGAAAGGAGAGTATGGCCAACTTAAAACCAACTACGATGAAATGGTTGCACGAAAACAAGAAATTATCAAGGAGAAGGTCACCTCCATAAAGAAGTGCTTGTTGCTGGATGTCGTCGATATGAATGAAGATGGAGATTTTGTTTGCAAGGACAGTGAAAAAATAAGTTTTAAGCGGATAAATGTCCTAAATAAAAGCATCTCTACTAAAATTGCTTCTACTAAAGAATCAATTGAGGATCTTGAAACTAATTATTTGTTAATGAAAGAAAGAAACGAGAGAGATAAAGAATTGATCGATTTACTGACTATAAACTGGAATATAACTGATCGGCGTGAAGGGAGGAAAAAGCTCGAAAAAATTTATGAAGAGAAGAAAATTCAGCTTGAAGACCTAGAAGTAGAGGTAGCAAAGGCACGAAAGTTGTTGGAAGAATCTGGTCAAACAAAGCAGGAAGATTTCATGAAGAAAAGGATTCAGCAGCTGAAAGAGCAAGTTGAAAGCAGGATTTCTGACGTGCAGAGGATTAATGAAAAGTTAAGTGAAACCGAAAAATGTTACGAAGAAAGATGCGTTTTCTTGGAAAACTTAAAAGGCATAAGCAGGGAATTGAGGCATGATCTCTCCGAGCCGATTTTAAATAGGAGACACTTTAATTTATGTTTAAAGGAAAATTTTAATTACGATCAACGATTGAGAGAAGTTCTAGAAGAGCGAGAGAGAGTGCAATTCGAATATGGAGCAGTAATGGAAGAGCTGAAGAATAAGAGAGAGCAGTATGATACTGAAGAGAAAACAAAGGAAAAGTTGTTTATGTCGATAATGACACAGCTGGATGAAGGCCAGCAATACAGGATCGAGCATGAGAACATCCAAGCAAGAATCAATCAAATGCATTCTGAGATTTTCGTACGACACGGTTTCATGCACGCCAAAGAAAATTCCATTATGGATTTGACGACAAGATGCAACGAAATGGAAATTGAGATCATCGAAGCGTCAAGGAAGGAGCTTTTCCTAAAAGAACAGACTGCGGAGTTAGAAAGCAAGTTGACAGAAATTTTGTTTGACATTTGTTTTGCGATTTCTTGGGATGCAGTTGGGAACCAGAAGATCGTCGATGATAAGTCGTTTGGTTTTTATGCTAATGATAATGTCTCTGACTGCGGTGAAACTGAATGTAAAGATTATGACTCCTGTGAAGTTATTGACTTGGACTCAATAGAGAAAAGCCAACAAATCAAGATTTCTTCGCAGTAACATTTAGATTTACAAAAAAAATAATATTTTGCAATTAGCCTAAATAGTATTACTAAAAATTCCACTTAAATCCACGAGCAACTCACTCCTTATAGTACAATAATACAAGCTTATATTTTGTCATACAAGGTTTTCATCGGATATCAGTTTTATTTGCCTAAAATAAACTAAATGACTTAGTGGTAATATTGAAGGTAACTTATTAATCGATACATAAACATCGCTTCGATGAATGATTATCCATTCACACCTATTTTTTTCATCATTTCCCCCGAATCACGAAGGACCTGTTGTTATCTTTTGTAAATTTATCATTTTTCTGCTTTAATCCTTTTTACTATTGTCTATATAAAAGCAAGAAGAGCCAATGTTGGGATTTTTTCATTCTAATCACAAGGGTTCTTGATAGACAAGGTAGCTTCGAAACTCTTGTTAAATGCAGTTAAATGTTGAGTTAAATGCAATGCAACGCTCTGATACTTTTAATCGATTACCTGATATGCACTAACTGGGTGGACAATGTTCTGAGTGTAACTTTGCCTAAAGATCAAAAACTTTATTTTCCTTCTAAGATTTGGTCATGCTCCTTTACACACAGTGAAACCAGTAAAAACTTTCTGATAAATCCTTGACGAAAGGAGAGCCTTAACTTAGCTTTCAAGCACTAAATAGACAGAAAGTAACTGACTAAGATACACGTGCACTTTCAGCAATCCCCAATTCATTATGACTTCTAAATATCTATTTAAAAAGATCCTTTTACATTTTATTTAGTCGTAAATTAATTCCTGAAGGTAACTAAAATTCCATACTCAGCATACAAAAATAAAATTCATCACCTAAAAAAATTGCTGAATGCTTTAAAAAAAGTAAATATGCGTCAACTAAGCAAACACGTTTTATTCTAAAATTAATCCCATTCAAAAACAACATTACTTTGTTATGAGTCACAAGGCACCAAAAACACTCTGTCTTTAACAGGGACATCTTTTGCGCGTATTCTTTCCCTAAAAGAGACAGATGAATGTTAATTCCGAGCGGAGAAAGCAGAGCTAAAAATAATCATTTGCTCAAAAAACACTAAAGGCCTATTAAGCTAATAAGCAAGAAACACACTTGGGCCTTCTAGTTGCAGGGTTGTATTATGAAGGTAATGAAATTTTCCTACTAGAATTTGTTAATTTTATTGCTTTAATCACAGCGATCTACATTGCTGTACTCAACCATCGATGACATATTGGCAAGAATAATTGAAACTACTTACATGAGGTATTTGTCTCTTCCCGAGTCCCACCTCTTGGTATTCGATGAAAATGCACTTTTGTATCCATTGACCTTCTGTGATTCTTTCCAGTGCGTTATGTTATATCGTCCAGCTCCCACTGCGTTCTGCAAACGAGCAAAACAGAATTTAATAGAATCTTAGCTTATAGAAACAATCTGAAAACAAGTCCTAACCACCACAGTAAAGGCTGTTGACAGAAAATAGGCCACGACGCTCTTATGAGTAACATTAAAAGTTATATCCAAATTCCGTTTAAAATCAATAAGCAAACCTGGAGATATATTTAAAAGGATCCCGATAACCTGTTTTTTGTTCTTTAGTAGACGCATTCGTGATCACAAGTTAACGTTAAAAATCCTATTAGGATAGCTTGCGTGCAGATTCGACTGGTTTCCAGAGATGATTTTATTTGAATCGAAAATTTAGGTTTGCTTTCCCAGTAGAGAATTCCTAACAGGTTTCTGGAGGGGAAACCCTGAATATTCTTTTTAAATAAATACATCTCTGAGAAAGCAGTCAAGTCTGCGCCCATGCTAATCTAGGAGAGATATAGAGACGAACACTTATAGCCAAAGAACAGAGGGCAAAATTTTTCAATTCTTCTCAATAAAAATTTTAAAACACGAGGTTTTTCTCAAAAGTAGTGTTACTGCTCAATGTCTGTTAAACTTTCGTGCTACAATTCACATTGTTATGTCTACTTCTGATTCAGTCCAAAACAACATACCACATTTCCAAGGAAGAATTTCCTTGCATGTCTGTCCATCCTGTCTGCTGAATTTCCGAATGCAGGCCGTTGCTTCGCTTCAGGCTTGGTTGTGTTTTTGACGTCATAATTACCAGGCCCAGGCTCCTCCTTATCGGTAAAAATATGAACATATTTAACAGAGATATTGCTAAACAGAAGTTGTTTATCCATACATATATACCGACAGACAACATAAAAAGGGTAGTCAGTGGGAAACTTTTCAAATGATTTTGACTGTATTTTGGTGACAAAGTTGATCGAGCTGAGATCAATATTTCATTAGTATACATTTTTCATGCACGATTAATGCAGTCAAAATCATCGTAGACAACTTTGCAAGAAATCGAAGCTATTAATTTTGAACTCAACACCAGTTTTGGTAGAGTTTTCAAATGTTTTTAAATGAATGCGTTTGCATTTCGTACGCTCGAGACGTTTTTTTTAAATTGCCTTTTTTCCTTCGTACAAATTCACCTTATTTTCAAATTATATTGTCTTTACTGCTTTTGTCAAATCTCTAAACTGCATTATATCCCTGGACCCTTGAACGAGTCACAATTAAGAATTTTATTGATAACCCTGTTCAATAACCTATTTCCTTGTTTTTATCAATGATACTTAAAATAGCAAATATGCAAGTGGGTGCAATGACATGATATTGAGACACATACCGATTTTCTTGGCCATTGTGACAGCGTACAACAATATAGTCTTTCAGATGGCATTGCTGGTGCACGATCAACTTTTCCAAATTTTCCATGACGTTGTTTGTGATTATCTATTTAATGAAAATTATTAACCGATCAATTATCACTTTTTTAAGATAAAAAAAGTTTCAACAACATTCAAACCATAAATTTATTGAGATAAACTTTGATGAGTATTCCATATGAGATTGTGAGGTGACATTGTTGTGCTTTATTTTGATTATTCACAGCATGTTGCAGTATTTGTAAAAATATATATATGGCATACTAACTAGGGAGGGGAGGGTTTATAATATGTGTTTCTCATTGTGTTTATCTGGGTTTTCTCCCCTTTTTTAAAAGAAAAAGGCTGAATCTCAATAAATAACTGTATATATCTTGGACAAGGCTATTTGATTTTATCCTTGCTTGACTGTTTACTGACCTTCTTACCCAGAGCCAAGCTACATCCATTGTCAGTTAAACAATAAGCTTGATGTGAAATTATATGACTGCAAAATACATTCAACAAAGACTCACCATCCCATTCTTGAAGAAATGACTTTATATGGTATTCCCCTGGTCCAAGATTAACCTTACTCTGCAAAAAAACAATTTACAATATTTGAAATTTATATTTTTGCTCAAAATGTTTATAAGAAATGAAGTAAGAAAAAAAATAGTAAGGACATTTTTAGGAAAAAAATGTTGCCAATTCAACTAAAATGTTGCCGGTGTCATATCAAGAATATTAGAAAAAGTACTCACAGGAGCTGCAAAGTAACCAACAGTTATTGGGCGATTCCTGTCTCCTGTAAACAAATCATATGGTCCTCGTTTGCTAATTACTCTCTCTGATAATTCATCAGTGAAGCTTCTGTGATTGTACTGTCCAGGACAGAGAGCTGAACCCTGTTGAAACAGAAAGGAGAAAGTGGAATGTGATACACAAGTTGATTGACAAATTTTGAGACTTACAATGTTGTGACTACTTGCAGCTATCTAAAATACTTTTCAATGCCATCTTAAACATAGAATGGTTTAGAACAGGAATCAATATGTTCCTTTGAAAAACATAGATACTTCTATCTATGGTGACAAAAAACCTTACATTTTACAGTGATACAGTTATAGAAGACAGTGCTTAGAAAGACAACTTCACCTACCACTTCAGGGAGCTGTCTTTTACCAGATGATCCTGCATCCAACATGCCTACTGTACTTGCTGATTTTCTTTGCTTCTCTTCAATTGCAGAATGTGGAATGCCACCTTTACCATAAGTTCCTGGCCCTGGTGTCTTACTCTGAAATATAACACAGCAATATATAGTTTCAGTTTGAAAATGGCTTAGTAGAATATTTGATAAAAGCTGCTTTGTTGACTGTCTGCTAAATTTCCTTGGCTTAGAAATAGTTTGCTCATATTACGGAAGTAATTAGTTAATAGCAATTATTACAAGAGAATCCTTAATCACTCATGATTTCAAAGTTGACCTGATAATTAGACCTAGCATTCAGTTTTGCTTGTTTTTTCTTGTTGCAGAAACTAGCTATTTTTTTAAATTTGAAATTTCTTCAGCATCCTGTGGAAATAGGGGAAATAAATATCCCTAAGTAATAGCAATGGCCTGTAAAGGGACTCACGTGTTCTGATTTAAATCTTGTAGCCCTTGTAGAGCAGATTCCATGTGTGCTACCTGGTTTTTTCTCTACCCATTGCATTGAGTCTGGGATGTTATAAGAACCAGGTCCAAGTAGACGTTTCTGTTGATAGTTAAAGAAATGAGATAAGAATGCAAATTACCAGCAACATGCATAAAAAAGCAGACATAGCACTAGTCTAAAGGTATCTGGTGTATACTCTATATTTTTGTCACAAATTATTTCATCATTCCAACATCATAACACAGACCTTGGTTTTCACTTGAGCATGTACTGGTATTATTCAATCTATACATTCTACAAGGTAATAAATATATACCTGTTCCTGCTTTTTCTCCCATTCTTCTCTGTAAAGCAGATGTGGAATTTTAGCTCTTTGGCTTGTTTCATATGCTTTTTTCCAGCCTTGAAGCAGAGAAAAGAAATGGCTATGTCTAAGATTTGACAATAGTAATTTAGAGAAATGAATATAGAGTTACTTATTATATGTACAGGCCCTTGTACTAGCATAAAAAATATTTAGGGCTGTGTTTTAAATATTTTGCTGTTCTTTACTTCTATGAAATTTGATCTATTACCTGGACCAGAAGCTCTGTTGGCAACAGCAGATGAGCAAAAGCTGCCTGTTGTTTCTATATTGTAAGTGCCTGGTCCTAGTTTTGTACTCTAAAATAGAAAAAAGAGCATCAATGGTTCTGCATTTATATAACTTGAATTTTTTTTATGAACTGTGATAGATAATTCCATAAGAGCTTTGTTTCAAGTAACTAACAGAGATGAAAGTTTTCATGGTAAAGTGCAAACTTACCAAGTTGCCCATGGACTTTTTATCATAAAATACTTGTGTAATGGTTCCTGGTGTTTTACTCTTGGGATGAATGCCAGCAACATCAAACCTGTCAAAGGATACGAAGGGCCATCATGAGGAAAGAAACTCTCTGATACATAGAAGCAAAAAATTATATTTTATATTTAACTTTTCTGGCTAGATAGACGCAAACAGCATATAGCTATTGTAAAATTGGCAAATTAAATCTCAGAATTTCTCCAATTAAGAAAGCGATTTAGGGAAACAAAAATTTTTTGCTGAAAACGAACAAACTCAATTACGATTCTATTCCGAGGTTCTAGTACAGAATTTAATGCCGAGTCCAAAACAAAAAACAGCTCTTTCATAGCTTTTTTAGATTTTGAGATATTATCGATTTTCTCCGATGCGGTCAGAGAACGGTCCTATGCTGTCCTGACTTCCACGGCGTAACAGCTGTGATTTCAAATCTTTTATTAAAGATTTCTTGTCTTGAATATTGTTTGACGATAGAAAAACACTCTGTAACTTCTCTAAAAGTTAGATATCAGCCAAAAGCGTTACTTAGCAAACTTTTATAATATATATGAACTGAAGTGATCTAGAAATTAAGAAAACCGAAAAAGACTTGTCACGTAGCCTGTAGCCTAAATGTAAAAGTGATACCCTTACCTTGATTTCTGCGTCCCAAAAGGTGCTCCTTTGAATTTTTTGTCTGACATGATGGTCTTGATCTCCCTTTTACTGACTCGATGTGCGATCAACTACTTAATAAATAAAGATATGTGTTGTTTCTTTACAAAACGGAAACCAATTAGCCTGTTATCATGTTGCATGGCGTCCATAACTATGGTAACATATGCAGACGAGGCTGCACCTGACGCTTGCGGTGGGCCATTGTTGCGGTCACGCTATGCGAAGGAGCATTTCAATCGCAGCAACATTTCACTTTCCGGTTTGGCATTCCATCACATCTTCGCTTGAATAATTTATTTAGGATACTGGTGGAGCTATATACACACTGTGAGCCAATTTCGTACAAATAAGAATCTTGATGAATGCTTTAAAGTTTTGGTGCAATGGAGAAAAAGCAGCTTCTTAAGCTAGACGCTTCTGATTCCGACGAATTTAAGGAGTTCGAGCTTCCTCCCGCCAGAGCTCGACGTCCACGTTTGAGGTAAGCACGATATTTATAAAATTACACCAACAGATGTAAAATACAATGCAACGTCTACACCTAATATTAATTAAATTTCCAATATAACCAATTACTTCGATTTAAGAGCTGCATCCACGCTCCTATCATAAATAATCCTGAATTCATTTTGCCCAAAGGCATGATTGAGATGGTGATACAGTTATGGTGTTGACAGTGATGTCCAGCCAACGATTTCGTTTCTTATATAGAACTTAGTGTCTGTTTATGCTTGGAGAACGTTATCGTTAATAAATTATAAATTTACTGACAAATGAAAGTCGTAATTACCTTTTTCACACTAAAGGAAGGCAATGGCAGAAGCAAAATTATCAGGAGGGAAAGTATCATTTTGCTCGTTGAGAAGTTGTATGGTGTTTATTATAACTGGGGTGCTGTGTGCTGTTATTCTTATAATGGGCTGGATGATGATGAATATGCAGAAAGATGTATTGGAGCTCAAAGAGAGATGTAAGTTTATTGGCACGTTTCAGTGGCTTATTATTTGTTTATGTCGTCATCTATCATTGATGAGAATTTCAATGAAAAGTAAATGATTTACACCTGTTATTGCTTGTGGCATCAACTAATAGGCATTTAAAGGTGCATAATGATACCATGCTTCCAGCTCATATGTCTAAGATGTTAGTTACAGTAGAATTTGATTTTGTAGATAGACTTTTGTATAGAATTGGTAGTTGTGCATGGTACTTTCCAGATTGATTGATGTAGACGGACGTGTAGTGAAGTACCAGTTAAGAAAGTTTACTAAGTATGTATGCTCAATAAGAGACAGGGATTGGGTGCTAAAAATTGTATGGTTCCTTTCTTGTCAATTTGAAAAGCAAGATTCACAAGCAATAGTGTTTAAAAATGGCTTTGAGAAAAGCAAACATTTTAAGAATTACTTACTAAGCTTTTTGTCTTATACACTCCAGAATGATTATTGAAAATTTATACACTCCTTAAATGTCAGAATGATAATTGAAAATTTCATGCTAGAAATATATACCTTATCATCCTTAATTCTGCTGGCCCATTTTTCTTTCGCCATTTAGGGCCGGTGTCATATGCGTTTCGGTAACCTTATGCATTTCGATCCGGGTACTCAAACGCATGGCAATTTTGGTTATGCAAAATTGTATCCAAGCACTTAAACAATAGGGTACCAAAACGAATGGTGGAATTTAGCATGCAAAACGGTCGGGGTACACAGACGCATGGTAATTTTGGTTATGCAAAATCGTACCCAAGCACTTAAACAATAGAGTACCAAAACAAATTGTGGAAGTTAGCATGCAAATCGGTCCGGGTACACAAACACATGACAATTTTGTTTATACAAAAACGTACCAAAGCACTTAAACAATAGGGTACGAAAATGAATGGTGGAATTTAGCATGCGAACTGGTCTGGAAACACAAATGTTCTGGTTCATATTGTTCAGAATGTAAAGAACAATCAAACTATTTTTAACAAGGGGGTACTTACAAGAAGCGGTGCTGTGATTTCCCTTGTTAAGTTTATGTAAAAAAGTACAACATTAATGGCGACTCCAAAATTTTCTTGATTGAAAAGTGTGAAATTTCAAAACTCAAAAAGCATTGTGTTCAATTTGTTAATTATAACGTGTCATAATATCGTGAAAATTTCAATCCCCAACTAAAGACCATGAATTATAGAGGGTATACAACACACAAACAAATGCAATCATCATTATCATTATTAGTGACTATTTTAAATATCCAAATGTATTACATCTTTAATCTGAGCATTGAGTGCTTCATCAATCTCCTTTCGCACCCTGTCTCTAATGTCCTCTTCACTTTCTGCCACTGTCTGGTGTTCACTGCCGTCATCTTCATCGTCATCTATAACTTTTGCAAATGGCTCCATAGCCTCGTGACTCCTGCTTTTAAGCTTGGTGATTAACAAAAAACATCCCTGAGCATGTTTATACCTCAATTTTTGCTGCACTTTAGATTTGAGGAATGTTATAAATTTACGCTGATTTTCCTAATTATTTTCTCGAAAAACGGCCTCATTAACACTGGCCCAAAAAACGGCAGCCTTAATTAACGCCACTTGCCAAAATTAACGTCAATAAGGGCTGACGGAATTATGGCCAGTAAGGTATTTAGATATACACAGTTGTAGATCAAAATAAGCCGATCAGAAAACGAAAGATTATGACTGAACTGGTTGATTAATCAGTACCACCTATAAACGAATTATTAATTAATGGAGTCCAGTGGTAAAACAAATTCTCAACGCTTCTTTTATTATCATACACACTGTTTCTAAAAATGCTAAATATCCTTGCTGGTAGTGTAGTAAAAATCTAAAAATTCTAAAAATGTATATAAGTCATCATTTGGCAGCAAAATTGCCAAACTTTATTTTGCTAATCATCAAATCATGTATAATGCATCTCTGGCAATCTTCATGTGAGCCTTTTTCATTGCCTTTTTCATGCCTTTTCTAAATAAATTTTTACAAAGGTGACAAACTGCCTGCATGGATCAGCTTATGAGAGCAATCACCTGTCTAATACTATTTATTAAATAAAGTCCTTCAGGACCTGTGGAATAATTAGGTTATTATCTAACCACAACTGCCTAACCTTTGATTTTCTAAATGTGTGATTACCACCAGTTTGTAGCCAAAATATTTGATGATTGTTTTCATTAAAAACTTGACCCTTACATTTTTAATATCATAACTTTTAGAGATGGACGAAAAGAAAATACATTAAGTTTGACCAGCTCAGTAAAAACAGAAGATAAAATTTGAAATTAATCAAAACCACCTTCTAGAAGCTTGACTTTTTAAATTTCTTCTTCAGTGTATGAATCGCAATCAGATTCTAAATCTGTTGAAAAATGTTTTCCCTCCTCCTCCCTGATTGCATTATCTATGTTTTCAGATTCTTTTGGAGCTTCAAGGCAGTATTTTACTTGGAGGTTCCTCTATTACAGTCTTACATTTTTAAACTGACCAGAATGGCCAATTTCTAACGCCCCCACTTAAATAGGACACACGTTCTAATAAACTTTCAGCTAAAAGGCTTCAAAGGAAGTCCTGAGGACGCCATGAGAAGATGTGAATTGTATAATAGTGACAACAACAATAGTGACATTTGTTGCTAATTTTTCCCTAAGTGCTCTTCCTTTCTCTTGCGGGTGATACATGTTTTTGCAAGGATGGCAAGGGCAATCACCTGCATAAAACAAAAAGTCCTGCTCTTTTATTCTTTTATCTCTCTTGCTTTTCCACCCACAAGGGTGATGTTTAGTATGCTCACATCGAGAGAAAAGTTTGTAAGAAACAGACTTATACAAGGGAAGAGGAGGACCTGGAAACCAGGGTTGTAGGAGATATATACTATAAAAATGGCCCAGTCTCTGTCAAACAAGCATCTTTTTAATTTATTTGCCAGTTTTATATATCCTGATAGTGTCAAAATTTGTAACTCCCAATCAACCAAGATTAGCAGGTGCAGCATTTAATCTAATTCAAGAGTGTCATAAATTATATTTTAAAGTATTTTGCTGACACTACCTTTAGTGTATAGAACAGTGCTGTTATATACTTAACAGCACTGTTCTACAGCACAGGCCTTGCCCCCCCCCACTTTTTTGCAAAACGGTCATGTCATTGCAGTGTCATTGCAGAAGGTTTGGATTTATTGATGTTGAGGCCACTTCTTCGCTAATAGTCATCATCACCTAGCCTTGCACAAGATTTAACTGTCACGAATGTTTGAATTTTTGGTTTTATAATGGAAGTTCTTAGTTTTGTAGCAATTTTCTACTGCTAGTTAATACATATTTTGAGCTTTAATAAATTGCCTTCCGTTCCAGTGACCTATTACGTCATACAAAGAAAGTAGGCCTCAGACCCTTTATGCGACTTTGCGCAGGCGTTATACGCAATATGCGCAGGTGTCGGTACGCTGCTAACCTCACTAATCGTGTCATACGTCTGGAGGCTTTCTACATAAATTTCCTGAAATATAGAGGGGGACACTCGGATTACACTCTTTTTTTTTATACAAGAACCAGTAAATTTAAATTCAGGCTGACTGTTCTTAATTTTTTTCGAAAATCTGAGGCTGGATTGTTCTTAATTTGTTCTTAAATTAAGAGGGTGTAAGCAGTGATATTGTTAGCTTATTCGCTCAAAGGGGGTGTTCAAGCCTCATTTGCCGACAAAGTGAGTGAGACAGCCTTAATTTGCTGACAAATTTGAATACTCACCAAAAAAACACCCACACATCGCTAAAAATCCTCGATTTTGAGAAAAAACGTTGTTCAAAATTGCATTTTGCAGAAGCTCAGCCTCAGCTTGTTCTTAATTTGTTCTTAACTTTTGACCAGTTTTGAGGCTCGTGTTCTTATAAAATTGTTCTTATAAAAAAAGAGTGTACTTTATTTGGTCTAGAATTTGAGAGAAACTAATTTTTTGGGTCAGTCAATTCTTTAATAATTTTTTGAAATTACTTTTTTTCAATTGTTTAATAGTTCATGAAATTTGGAATTATTTTTATGGACTTGAATAAGGGAAAAGTTTAAAGGAAAGAAGAAAAATGCTGATGGTTTGTTCTCCAGCCTGAGCACCCCGATCCTAAATATATGAGTGCCCCTTGGGTCACCCTTCAACTTTCCACCAAATAACCCACACCAAATATACATTTTGAAACACTGTAGTTTCATTTTCTGTAATTTAATCAAGATAAAATCTCTAAAATCAACAACGCTTCAGGGCCTATTTCAGTAATTTATCATAATTTGCCTGCAGTCAACACTGCTTGTTCTCCATGGATGGCTGCGCACTGCTTTGTTAAGTTTAGAAACTCTGCGACAAAAAGCAATGTTTCTTATGAAAGATGAATGTTAGAATTCAACTTTTTAATGGTTATTTCCTTCTCCAGTTGACCCCTGCCACCTGGTCACAACAAAAGCTGTCCGCTAAATATATCTTGATCGGTTTAAAATCCTAAAAACACCAGCAAAAAGTTAAAATCTAAAACTTTAACACCCTTTCACCCTTTATAATACCCTTTCTCATACTTATGGATATGGGAGTGCCCGTGGACATCAACAGGGGGTCGGCTTCTTTTTCGAGCCCCCTTGCGCTTAACAAATTATTTCAGTGACAGAGGGAAAAGCTAATTTTCTCCTTGGGTAAGATGACATAATTACGAAGGATGTTTTTCTTTCGACTCAAATCGGTGACAGTGCACAAAATACCAGAGCTATATAAAACTCTACGACAAAGTCACTTTCAAGTAATGTCATGGATGGATGTGAACGGAGTAGTTTTTTACGTTAGTTAAAGTCATTATTTTATTGAATTTTTCATTAAATGGATGTCTGTAAGATGGGAAAACAAAACAACAACTTCGAATATTTCAAGCCGCAAAACGGTAATTTGCTTATGGCTTCGGGAAGCGACTCTGATGATTGCAAAGATTCAGACTCGAAGGAATTGTTTACATTGCCGAAGAGAAAGTTCATCCGTTCTAAAGGGCCAAAAAGGTAAGGAAATTATCATGATTTTTGTCGATTTCTTGTGTTCTGATCGTTTATGGCCAAGTCTCATTGCACGGCCTCGATATCGAAGATGGCCTATCAACGCACCTCACTGTTTTTTTAATATAATTCCTTAAGAATATTAGGATTTAGTTTATAAAAAGAAAACTAAGGCTGTTACGCAGTACTTTTTTTTATTTTTTAAAAGTTTTATGCAAAGCTCTGGGAATTTTAGAACTTTCTTTAAGAAATAGATGTTCACTTGTATTGTAGCAGTTGTTTTTAAAGGCCTACTAAATAACTGTCCATTTCGAATTTGCAGCCAAAGAAGAAGCTGTTTCTGCTGTAGAGAAATTTGTGGAGCAGTTGTTCCATTAGTAATAGCTGTATTCATAATCGCAACTATGGTGTCCATCAGCTACATTATACTGGGTGTAAGTGGAATGAGAAGGGAGATAGAATTATTAAAAATACAATTAAATAAAGGTAAGGTTTTCACGGGTTACTCCAGCCTTTGTGTGCTACGAATTTCTCTAACCCTACTAGGACTGATAACTTTCATGATTTTATATCTTTCACAGCTTTTATTAAGTTGATCGGTTTTTTTAAGACTGTACCTTGGACCTTTTTTTCAAATCAGCAAATTTCGAAGACAACTTTTAAATAATATATCTATTTCAGTTCAATACTAATGGGAAAAAGAGACCAATTTTATCTCACCTATTTATCCTATTAAATAATTAAAAAAAGGACTGCATTCCTACCACCCAAAAGTGTTCTGTTATTTATGAATTTATGTGCCAGCGTGATTCTGGCTACGTAGGACGCACAACCCAAAGATTGGGGGATAGGATAAAACAGCATGTTCCTTCCAACATAAGAAACAAAACTGCCCCTCAAAGAGAACAGCCTCCTCGATCTTGTAGGTCTAGAAACACTGTTAAAACAAGTGATGCTGCTATCGGTCAACATCTTTTAGACACCCTAGATTGTGCAAAACTCTATAATGATGACATGTTTCGAATAATTGGCAGAGCCCGGCTGTCCTTCCATCTAGCAGTTTTGGAGTCAATCTACATACAAATGAAAAAGCTGCCATTGTGTAGACAGAATGAGTTCGTTTTCTCTCTTGGACTCCAGTGGTAATTCTTCTTTAGGCTCGCAGCACTGATTGGTCAACTATACCGGTCTTGTGCTTGCGTTTTTCTGATTGGCCTATTTCGATTCACAACTGGGTATATATTGTTAATTGTGTTCTTTCGGACCCTGATTCTAACGTTTTATGCTCTGAGTAGTGTCAGACGAAAAAGCGTTCAGTATGTTATAAAAAATTTGCTTGGACCACTGTCCTCTGCTATTAAACAGATTCCACATAAAATATATCTTTTAGTTTTTTGTTTGCTATTTAGTTAAAAAAAACAAAAACCAAAATTTGAAATTGAATAGGTTATCTGTATTTGAATATCTCAGTGTTATATTTCCATGACATTTAACACCTGTTGCATCTTCTGTTTATATTCAGGGAATATACATTTATTCATCATACAATATCTAGTTTTTCTTTTGTTACTTAGATCTAGTTTCTTTCTTTTGTTACTGTTATTAGTCTTGATTTGTTTTCCTGCCAGAAAATAACCTTGTATTATAATCTGAGCAATGAGTATGAATACAAATTACAAATACAAATTAATGGTGTTTCGTTTCACGATACTTATCTAAGGTATCTCTTCTGTTTTTCCATGATTTAACAGAGGGGTAGAAGTTTTGTTGATCCTGATGGGTGCAATTTATTATTTGATACTCTGAAGTAATTGATCATTATCTTTTATTTCATTGCATAATGATCAAAACTATGTGATCAAAAAGTGTAATATATATATATATATGGAGATCGCTGTTGAAATATCAGATTAGAAATACGCAAATGCCCTATTTAAATGCCCTAACGAAATGTCCTTGCCCCAACGAAATGCCCTTGCCCCAACAAAATGTCCTATTGAAATGCCCTATCTAATTTTTATTTGGCAATGTTTTCCAATTTTTAAATCAAGGGTTTTTTTTTTACTTTTCGTTGTGACCTGATATTATAGCATGAAGTAGTTTGTAGTATTTATAGTAGTTATATATTGATGACAAAATATAATGATTAAAAAATTGTCAGTATTACAGTTTAGATTATATTTGTGACCATTGCACCCCTTTAAATAATAAATGTATCAGAAAGCAGTATACAGTTTTACATAAAAAGTGTTCTATTGTCAATCCTTAGTAATATTAGTAATAGTTGTGTTGCTTTGTAGGTAGTTTTTATAGTGAGATGAAAGAGCATGAATTAAATTTTCTGTACCAATTGATATTCACAATTTATTGATTTCAGTATTAGTCTTCAATGTTTCATGCACAGGACCAAGTGCTATTTTCAAAATATAATTGGCATGGCAACAAAATCATTTATGCCATGAATGTATTCCCTGTTCATTGATTGCTTGTGCAGTGAATCATTAAATTGATACTTTCCCTTTCTTATTCACCATTGTTTATCTTGTAACATGGTTTGTAACTTGTAACATGTAACATTCTCTCACATGTTGACTTGACAAAATTTTGTAAAAGCAGTGCATTTATGTTTTTGTTTTTGTTTGTTTTAACAGTTAAGTCAGATGAACAGAGTGATTTATTAGAAAGCAAAAGCCTAAAAGGTGATGTTCAGGGTAAATTGGCAGCAATAGACAAAAATGAAAAGGAAATACAAAGTCTCAAAGGACAAATAAAGTTTCTTTCTTCACAGGTATGATCTCTCAGCTATTATTAGATCTTTCTACCATTAAAATCAACTGTAATTACATCTGGCATTGAAGCACCATTTGAGAAGTTTTGAAAGACAAATGGCTTTTTATTGCAAAATGTTGAATGTGTTTTGTTCCCTGCTTATGATCAGCTACAAAGCAAGCAGTAGCTTGAGTTCAACAAAGTTTATCATCTTTTTTCTGTTTTTGGTTGTATTTTAAAGCAGTGTGTCCACTGCATGACAAAATATGTAACAAGAAGGGTTTTCAACTTGACAAAGATTAGGACCTTATATTCCATTTTTTATTCTTTCCAAGTATGAGAATTACCTATAGCAAGTTTTTTTTAAATGTTGATTTTATTCTGGGAGCATCTTATTTTCATATAATTCAACATATATTACAGGGATAATTTTAAATTATAAAAGTTAACAGCCCTGTGTAAGATACATAATGAAATTAATAGCCACATCAGAATACAGATAAGTCTGTAAAAATTGGCTTGTGCCATCCTTTTGATAGTATTTGTCTCTGTTGTGTATCACAATTTATCTCTTGATGATTATGTTGCTTCAGGTGAAGCTGCTAAATGCAACAATCAGCAAACCAAAAGAAACTCATGGGTCATCAAAGACAGTACTTTCTGTAAGCAATGATATTAAAATGCTTCAAAAAGGAATGGCAGAAACTGGTGGAGAAATTAAAAAACTTTCAGATGACAGTGAAGGAACAAAGAACACAATCACTGTTCTTTCCAAAATTGTTAAGTCGCTGAAGACAGATATGTCAAAACTATCAGTAAGTTTCTTTGTTATATGTTTTGAGTGCTTGTTAACTGTCTAAGCTCTTATCAAAACAAATAATTTTTATTAGCTAATTCTTTTTATGTGAATGGACTTTTATTGCAAGCTGCAACTAAGCACCATCCTATCCTTTGAATTGATGTTAGCACAGCTCTGTATATTTACATTATCATTATAAAATTTAATAGCATTAATTGCCATTGAGGTTGTATTTCTTCACTTTTATATGCCTGTTTTGTAATTAATGACCCTTTAATGACCTGACAAAATCATACTATTATAATCTGTGTTAGTGTATTTTCTAACTGGTAATCTACATTGTGTAGAGAACTGCAAACAAAGTGTATAGACGTCTCTCCAGAATGCACGAAACTCCAAGTTGAAACCAAGTGTTGGGGAGTTCAGCTAACATTGTTACAGACACTTAGATAGCAGCATTAGTGAAAACCTTACTGGGTTTGTGAAATCCCAAAGCCAAGCCCTCCCAACCCCACAGGTTTCAATAGTCCTTACAACAAGTTTTATGTCGTTAAGTGTCTATTTACCTTTAATTTACAGAAATCTGTTTCTGAATGGGACAGAGGTCCTTTGCCAACTGAAGTACCAGATACTCTGAAACCATTGATTGTAACAACATCCCCACTGGACAAAGCAAACAGTGAACAAGAATCGTTGCTCAAGGTTACAAAGCTTGTTAAAAAGATTGTTGATGGCTACAGTGAATTATTCAAAAATAAATCAAGCCATATGAATAAGGTAGATTCTTTTATCTCTGTGTTATGAATTACGGATCCATTCATTTGAACATTTTCAGGCTGCTAATTTGCATGACCTGATCTTTGGCAGTTTTTGCTGTTCCTAATCTTTTTCAATTATGAGAATTTGTAATGCTTCATTATGTGAATTCTCCTCCACTTTACTTCAGCTAATATACAATTGTACCTTCATAATCAAGGCTCCTAGAGTTTCCATTTTTCATAGAAGCATCAGCCACAACCTCCTCCTCTCCACCACCTTGATATTGCAGATACTAAAATTTTCCAAATTGCTTCTGTAGATCTTAAATTATTGTGGTGTCTAAGCAAATTTATCACTTAGTAATCTGTGTTTTCATCTTTTTACAGGAGCTTGAAAGTGTGAAGGCTCATTTGAAGGCTATTAACGACACGCATACATCAAATATCATCACAATTGAACACAACATTGCTGCTCTTAGTAATGCAAGCAATTTACATAGGGTAAGGACAAGCAATATACAATGCATTGAAATAAATAGCAACTAATTCATTGAAACTCCTTGAGAGAAGTTTTCTGGTGGTTTCTGACTTCATGCTTTTTTCCAAGTCTTTATGGGACTGTTGATACCAAATGATATTTCATTCTGGCTTGTGTTAACATTTGTTAAAAACTCTTGGTACTCATAGTAAACTCATAAGCAGACATATTATATAGAAGCAAGACATTAGCAATTTTTCATGTGGTACATATCTTTATTTTGTATTGGTTTAAATACTTTAGGAGCGAATCAATGCAATTGCTAAGAAGCTAGATTCTGGACCAATGCAGCAAGGGAATACATCATCCGAGACCAAAGTGCTTGGTATTGTCAAAGAAATTCTTGTTGACCTTAAGAAGCACCAGGTCATGATCAGCAACTTGGTATGCTCCCTACCTTTTTATTTGTTCATTTTTTGGCTTTTAGACTCTCAATTATGTAGGAAGCTTTGTAACACTCAAGGTTTGAAAGTTTCATGATATCATATATGAATCAATTGAAAAATCTTTGCATCTCTGCTTTTGTGCTAGTAAGAGCTATCTTCAATCTATCTACCAATTTTTGCATAGAAAATATAGAGGTGAGACCCTGCCATACATGTAGCTTTACCAAACAAATACACACATTCACACAAGAAAGCATTTTATGCCAAACAAGGGGAAATAGATTTCCTTTGCATGTACACAATCCGCACTTACCATTCTGAATGGTTTCAAGGTGATACCAGCAAGGCTGGAAAAAATGTAATTATCAATGGTTGACAATTACTTCCCTGGTATAGAGTTTTATGCTTTCCCCCTGTAAGCAGAGATTCAGGCTCTGATTCTGCAAGCAAGGTGCTGAAAGCTGCTTTGGCTAGATTCCGCTTATTCTAAAACGATGTGCAAATAAGAAATATTTTATTCCATCTTTGTGCAGTGTTTTTGTCATTTTTATTCCACCTTTGTGCCGTGACCAGTGAAGTTTTGTTTGAATTCTAGACAAGGCGAATAGAAAATATGGAGGGGGTAAATAGTCAAAAAAGAGAAGAACTGTCCAGTGCTCCAACCAAATCACCTCATGCAGAGGAGGCAGAAAAGCCTGCATTGGAGCCAACAACGCCTGCAAAGGAGGCAACAACGCCTGCAAATGAGGCAACAACGCCTGCAAAGGAGGCGACAACACCTCCAAAAGAGGCAACAACACCTGAAAAAAAGGCAACAACACCTGAAAAAAAGGCAACAACACCTGAAAAAGAGGCAACAACTGAAGGTTAACACAAAATTCTTTCTCTGTATTGGCCTGATTAATTTTTGTAAATATTCATTTTAAGTTGTTTCACGATGTTTTGTCAATTTTACATTGACAGAGCTGCAAAAGTTATGAGGACTTAGCACTGGAGGAGATTAAGTATTTAAAATGGGGGCCAGTTCAGTTAATTTTTGAGTTTTTTCTTTGTGCAGCTTTCAACTTCTTATGGAAACAATATTCGGCATTCGAAGTAAAATATCAGACTCATACCATGTCGAGTTTAGGGGGGGGGGGTTGTTAAACCCCTCCGAACCCTATAATTCCTGTCACTGGCGATGTTGTTTTATCGTGAATCATCGGTCATGCAATAGATTATCGACCGCCTTATAATAATTAATCTTGTTGCTAATAATGAAAGCTAGATATTCTGAATTCTGAAAACTAAATGGTTTGAGCAGTGCTTTCAATTGTCATTATGCTTGTATTCTATGAATTTGGGAATATATCTATACCCTGCTCACTACTACAGTATTATATCAAGTCTTTCGGTTTGTCCTTGAATTGAAAATTTTTCGGCAATTGTAAGATATTTTCCAGTTTTTAATTTCTATCTATAATTTGCCTAAGTTTCGGGCGTTGTCGTACGGCTAAATATTTTGTAGCTCGTTCTCCTTGGAAAAGGTCAAGGAATGCTACTTTTGATAAAGGTGTTTTCAGCTTTTGTCTGTTGGATGTTTCTGGTTGCCATTTGTAATGACCTTCTCATTAGCTTCTCTGAAACAACTCCAGATTATTTGAAGCCACTCCAGATCATTCGTTTACGTTCTACAATCAACTAAACCATTGCAATTTTTCTGTTTTTACATCACAGTACCCTATGACCTTAAATCATCAAAGCCACCAGCAACAACATCAAACCCTACTGGAACCTCTGGCGAGCCAAGCTCTCAACAGCTAGGGTTGACCACAAAGTCTGCTATTTCGAAAGCTTTCGTAAGCACAAAGCCTCCTGTTGTCACAGACGCCATTCCCGTATCAACAGAAGGTCCGTCAAAAAAGCTTGAGAGCAAAGGAACGACCCTAGCTGTTGTTAATGCAACTGATGGTAATCATGATGCTTATAATGTCACTAACCCTGTTACTAATGTTGATTTAACAGTGCCGGTAACTCCCGTGGCGCCTAAGTCAAAGGCACAAAACCCAATAACAGCAGAGTCGACGCCAAAGGCTCCTTTGAATAAAACTAGAGCAACCACTACTGGAGTTCATCCTGTTAAGGAAGAAGTAGCTGACGAGGAACCGATGGAGGACTCAAGACCTTCAGAAGCTCCGTTAAATGACGAGGTAAGACAGTCATTTCAAGGAAAAAGAGAGACAGACCCACAAGGAATGGACCACTTTGCAAGCGATAGCAGTAAAAACTTTAGGTCCAAGAATGAAGAAGACCATCCCAGGAGAAATATGCCAGAAAATCCAGACAGTACTGTTTCAGATCCAAGCAAGGGGGTAGAATCAGATGACACTAATGGAAGGTTTGATGCCCTCGATAGCCTCGATGATGCAGGTAAGTTTACCGATACCTCTATTTGACACTTTCGGCTCATCTTGCCAACTTAACGGCTTATCTTCCTAGAAAAAAGAGCGTGTTCCGGGAAATCTTTCTAAATAGCGTTAGAGCTATGATTGGCCAATGACAAATTTCTTTCACTGTTTTCAAGAGTGTTGATGATCAATATATCATCCACACTACAGAGATTTATCACGTTTTTCTCGCTTGGAACTCGATTCATGCTTTTTCTTATCGTGCCATTTCTCTTTCCATACGTTTTGGTAAAGAATTGTTTAGAACGATGACCTAATAAAGACAGACATGAAATATAGCTCTAGGCTTTCGAAATAATCTGAATATTCATGGGTTTATATATAATCCAAGTCTGCATTCATTATCCAATACTTCTTAGTTTTTCTATTCAACTTCACAAATATAACATTGTATCCCAACCAGATTATTTTCCTTAAAGATAGATTTTAAAATATCTTTTTTTGTTGCCACCTTTCCTTTACTCTTCGTAAGGTACTTATGTATTTTTGTAAACTCAAAATCCACTTCTTTTATTGCAGCTTAAAGCCCACTACAGTTTCCATCGAGCCATAGACTGACAACATCACTTTGACGGGTTATTCGCAAATGATAATATGCTTTTGTATAACAGATTGTAAATTGGTTTTCGTGTTTTTTGTAACGAATATTCTTTCACATTTAGATGTTCTAGTAATTAGATTATTCGAGAGGCACGTGGAACAGTCCTTGAAACTCTCTTCAGAAATTTTTATTTGTATGTTTGCGTAAATAAAGTTGAATAACCTGATTTACTGGAACTTAGACGCAGCAAACCTCCAGGTTTGATGATTCCAAATTTGAATATTTTTATTTATTTCCTCTTACCGCACAGGCTGTCTCTTGTTTTTAAGTTTTTTTGTTTCTCCTTTTATTCTTCACACCAAATTTTTTGTATGTTGAAAAAATTTTGAAAATCCTCTGGTGGAGGGGAGTATTTTTTTAATTGGTGGAACCCACAAAAACCCCAGCGCCATTGCTGTGTTTGGGTAAGTCTGTTGTTTGAATAACATTTTCGTCAGGTTTTTTTCCGTTTTCATTTCGTCTTTTTAAGCTTCTAAATCTTTTGATGATATTGTTTCCCTGTGCTAAACAAAAACTTCTCCTTTACTCATAAGATGAATGCATTTTTTCATTTGGCTTCACAGCATGTAAACTTTGAGTAACCCAAATCTCTGTAAGATTTGTTGAGCTAAAGACCCACTGACCAACTTTTAATCAGTAGACTATTTTGACCAACCGATTCAGATTTAGAGACCAGCTTTGACGGACTGCCAATCTTGATTGTTTCATTCCGCGCATCTTAACCTATAACCCCACAAAAATTCACTGCTTTCATTCCCTATTTGCGCCTGGAATTCGTTTGGTCTCTCTGCAGAACAACACAGCCTACATCATAGTTGTTCATTCTTGCCCAGGGAGCCCAAGGCCCAAGCAAGCTGCCTGTATTCCAGGCAATGCCCCTAATTAAGTGCTGCATGAAAAATAATTGCAATTTAATTAGACAACATGCATCACGTCGTAAGTTGAAGCATTTATTCTGTTCGGTAATGTTACATTAACTATCCTTTCAATTAAGTTATTATAATGAGTTAGCTAAGTAAACATAATTCGATGGAATAGCACCCTCTGTAGAGTGTTTGCGATGAAAGATGTTTCCTAAAAAGTCTTTTTTCTATGCTTTCAATCTTTCATCAATTACACAAATCAGAAATTACACAAACTGATTGCTTTGAAATGTCACATGTTTAGCAAAAGAATACGTCACGATTCGTTATATGCACTTGCAAAATTAATATGAAAAATTAATCCTTTAAAAGTTGTGGTGTACTGTAAATCCTCGAATTTGACCCCTCAATTTGTTGATTTTTGCCATCTGAGGTTGCCTTTGGCGTTTTATTTAATTACCACAAAAAATCATACTTTTTGTAATAATTAATTTAATGTTCATTAAGAAATTCCTCCTAAAATAAACGAGGTCTTTTATTAAAGTCTTCTTAATGTCTACAATAATTTTATAACCCCCCCTTCTATAAATCCCCCCACGTATAAGACCCCCGCCCTCGAATAAGCCCCCACCCAAAAATATTAAAAATAAATAATTACCCAGGGGGCTAATTCGAGGATTTACGGCAAGTCACAAAAGTTATCAACAATAAACTACTTGCAACCCCCTTTCGGGTTAACTCGAGCGAATCCCCTTATATAATTATTGACCGAATCCTTATTTTTCAACTATTGGTAAATCTGTGAATTCTGGAGGTAGAACAGGAAATAGCAGAAGAGTAACGAATAAAAAAAGAGTGATTATAGCGATAACACTAAGGGCCTAGCCTAGTCTCGAGGATAGAGATGAAGCTCAAACTGAAACTTTAGAATATATTGAAGATGTAATAAGATTTTATAGACTATAGAGCAGGTAGTTGGGGGGGGGGGCAAAAAATATTTATTCGAAGATTTCAAAGATGGTACATGCATACGGTCAGGGCAGTTTAAGCAATGATTTAAGACCAGTTGTGTATGAAATCAAAATTTATGCGATTTAAAACTAATAGGTCTAAACAAGAAAAATAAATTCCATTTTCAAAACTGAAATGGCGCCAAAAAATCAGTATTCTTGAAAACAATAAGACGCAAAAAATTGAGTTGAAATAGAAAATGATGAACAAATGGAATTTAGAAATGAACTAGATACGCTTGAAAAAGTAATAAAGGTGTTAATTATTCTGTTATTTAATTGCACTAATGCCTTAAAAATTTTTGCCAATTCGTCACTGTTTGATAATGCTTTTAAAAAGAAGGAATGGAGAGCTGTTGTCACAGGTTCAGTGAGGTTTACAACAACTTTAAAAGGGAAACATTATAAATGAAAGTGAAACTTTGGTATTTGTTTCATAGTGCTTGCTCCATCGTTACTTACAAATTAGACTTTCCGTAGCTCTCACTTGAATTTAAAGAGTGGTGCCATGGAGGGGGGGGGGGGGGTTTAACGGCGTGGTGCCAGAGAAATTTATCCACTTCTTGCTTGACTGGGCCTCAATATCTGTATATGCTGAACTGTACCTACCCTGGGTACCAGACTCACTATATATAAAATAAAATGAACGCACTCTATTATTTTATATAGTGAGTCTGGTACCCAGGGTAAACTGTACCTAACTTTAACTTGAATTCGAGCCCTCCAAGAGTAAAAAACCTAATAAATTGACTCACCAACAGGGAAGCAAAAATTTTGAACTTTTTGTCGAAAGAAATAAAGTTATCTAGGACATTTGACTTATTTAAAAGGAAAGTTGAAAAAATAAAGACAAATTATTCACCGCTTTATGTTCTCGTATTGTCAAGCATTGTTTTTATCTTAGAAAACTACCCTGGGTTTGAACGTTCGTATGTGTATCATTTTTCATTTGATCATTGTTTACAAAGGTTATATAAACTTTTCATTGGCATGAATATTACATAGAAATTATAAAATCGTTACTATCTAAGAAAATTTGAATTAAACAGCTTAGTTGTTTAGTTTATATCTATAAATGCTGTTCTTCCCGTTGAATCGTATCAGAAATTTTAGCTCCTTTTAAAGATTTTTAGCTTTTGTTTTAATAAACGTCCTGAACGGGAGGATAAACCCAATAGACCTTCCAGTCACATATTGTCACGCACGTCCAGAAACCAGACCAGACTAGAGTTTTTCTTAATGAATGTGATTTTTGCAGAGTCGGGAAAACATCACGGTCCAACGGCCACGGGCCGGAGGAAAGTTGCAGAAGCAAAGAGAAGTTTAGGAAGGTGACCAAAAATTCGGAAACTTAAGGAAATAGATGTAGAGTTGAAGAAGTCGTATTACCCTTTGGTTTTCAATATACAGCCAGACAAAAAAATAAAACAAAAACAATGTGTTTGCAGAACTGCTTAACACTGTAAATTTTTGGTATTAACTTTTTATTTATATATTTAAATTATGACATGTTTTTGTTATTTGTTGATATAAACATGTAACTTTATTTATGTCTCAAAAAATATCAATAATTGAAAATAAGCAATAATTTTTAACAATGTTTTGAAAAAACAGTGTTCCAAGGAGAGGGGGAAAAGACTAGTTGTGTACCCCCGTTTTCCTGACCACGCCCATTTAAACCCATTAATAATGAGAAAGGTTTTATAGCAAGATTTTTTTGGCCCTGGAAGGTTGACTAATTTTCTGGAATCTAGGTTTTATCTATTTATGCCCTGTTCGCACGATACCGGATTCATTTCGTATCGGATCGCTTTTCATATCGGATAGCCCCTCTGTTCACACGATGACGCTTGAATCAGATACGCTCCGTATTGTTTTTTGCGGAATCAAACCATTCCGCTGTGAATGTGGAATGGAATCATATCGGATCGCTTTTGAGCTTGTGTGAACGCATGAATCCGATACGGTTTCGCTCCGGAACCTCTGTTTCGAAAAAGCAGCTTCGTTTTCGGGGTTTTTATCGTTTTCGGGGTTTTTATCGTTTTCGGGGTTTTTATCGTTTTCGAGGTTTTTATCGTTTTCGGGGTTTTTATCGTTTTCGGGGTTAGGGCTCAGAATCAAACTGAATACCTTTTTTTTAAAAACGTTTTTCAATCATGGGTGCCGAAAGCACGGGGGTAGCTGCCCCTCCTGCCCTGACTCCGCGGGGGCAGCACTATGTCTTTGTGAAATTGGCACTGTGTTTTTGTAAATAGAATAGATATATAAAATCTCAAGTTCTTCAGTGAGAATTGAATAAGCCCTGTTTTGAACACAGACGTGCCATTTTGGTTAAAAAATTAGGACACATTATTCTGCAAATGTCTGAAAAAATGTGACCGATAATATCGCACAGGGATGCCTGCAATAGATAAGGGCAGGAGGGGCAGTGTTGGTGCCGAGGGCAAATCGTGGAATTTTTCTACTAACATATTGAGTATTCCTAGGTGGGAGGGGGGCGAGGTTGGGGTAACATAATGAAATGTTAACTTGAATACAGTGCCACCCATACAGCTGTTATTTTACCATTGTAAAATGGAGGTTTAAAATCGCGAGAGATGATCCGAAGACAGATACTTTAAAGAATGGCGGTTTCTTGCGAGCGGCTATACTTTTCCTTTCCGTAGGATTACTCCTCATTAGGATTACATCATGTTGCGTAGTCAATAGTTATATTGGGTAACATTTTATGCTTAGTTATGCTTTTCTGGTATTTTCCTTGTACATATAAATATACGTAGTTAGTTAGATTCAAGGAGATTCGGAGAGAAATTCAGAAGGTATAGGCATTAAAGACTAAACATCACATCAGAAGAAAGCTAACCGTTTCGCCACAGAGGCTTGCGAAAGCCCTTGCGGCCCAGTTTGCACTTAGGACAGGCAGTGCTTGAGAAAGACTGCGCTGTGCCTCGTTACATAAATTTGCGGAGAACCGTCGTTGTTTATGTTAGCTGTCTAGATTAAAGATGTACTGTGTAATAACAAAAGAGAATTGCATGCATGAAAATACTGCTCCAGTTTGTACTTTTCCAAATAAAAGTCCTTAGTATGGTTTGGTGTGATGCTATTTTAACAATATAAAAGTAAAATGCACAAAAAATATTACAGTCAATTCCCTGTTCTATTGGTTTTCTGCCATTTCCAAAAAAACAAAAATTTGAAAAACTGAATTTTTAAGTCTGGATTCTGATTTGAGTGCTGAATTCTGTGGAAAGTTAACAAACTTTCAGTACTGAAAAATTTCAAGTTTGTATGTAAAAAGGAGTGTAATCGATATGAAACACTTTTTAAAAAAAAGTTTCTCAGAAATTTAAAAGGGCGTGGTCTAATTCTTTTTGCAGGGTCTACGCCCATACAACCCCTTTCTTGTTGGTGAGAACATCTTTTTTTCCTCTGGATCCGCCCCTGAATTTATGTTTGCATACACCATTTTTTGAATGTGCATTTACATTGCTATGCAACTGTTTCAAGACAATGGATTTTTCGGAGCGGTGTTGAAGCGTAGCTTCATCGTGTGTACAGGAGTGAATCCGATACGAAATGAATCCGGTATCGTGTGAACAGAGCTTGGTATTCATATCGGATTGGGTCAGTGAATCCGATATGAAATGAATCCGGTATCGTGTGAAACAGGGCCTTAGATTGAAGTAGCAGGTCATAAAGAGTTCCTACCAAGATGTTATATAAAAGTAATCATAGTTACCGTATAGACCCCCGTACGCATAAACTCATTGGTGTCTCGTTTAAAGCCAGGCTACAGTAAATACAAGAAGCCTCCTTGGTTTTCCGTTACTTGTTAAAAAAAATTGGACCCAAAAATTTCACTGTTTAAAAAACAAGCGTTTTTAAACGATGAGCTTCATCTTCTCAAAATCAAGGCACCTACTAAGGAGGGCGTTTTGCATTGAGGTTAAAGTTGTTCTGCAAAACTTTACGGCGAATAGAATGGTTTCCAATCAGAATTTGAAGCTGTTTAATGGAGATGAGATCCCAGCACTTGGACTAGGGACCTGGAAGAGCAAGCCAGAGCAAACTGAAGCGGCCGTTGCCGCCGCCATTGATTTTGGCTATCGACATATTGACTGTGCATGGTTGTACGGCAATGAGAAAGAAGTTGGGCATGCACTGAATCAGAAAATCAGAAAAGGGGTATGTCTACCTGGTGCCTACTGGTATTATGATGTCTTTTTAATCTATTGCTCAGAGATTTAGGGAGTTTATATGGGGGGGCTGGGGAGGCTTCCACTTTTTGCAAGAAATGCCAAATATTAAGAAATTAACTACCAGTAAAGCCTCTCTTTAAACGGCGGTTTTAGCTCCACGGTGCCTGGATAGATATGGGTACTCTGTAGTGTGTTAATTATTACAAAGGAACACGTTTTATCCCTGTAATACTTGTAGTACTCGTATTTACCTCGTTTCAAGTTGATTGAAGATAGTTCTTGAAAATCATAAATGAGAACATGAAGGGGCGTAGCCAGCGGGGGGTGTGACCGACCCCCCATTTTTTCATGAATTGGTGGCGGTAAATCTTCAGTTGGTGCAAAAAATTCCTGGTTTGTCTACCAGTAGTATCATCATCTACCAGTAGGTGAAATTATCGATGTGTTGGGTATGGAAAGAATGTTGGGTATTGGAACGTTCATATATTACCTAATCAAAGATGGGGAGGAGAGGGGGGACTTACACAAATGTTATGGCTATTTCGTTCATGATGGCTCTTTGTGGAAGTTTGTTAAAATAGTTGTTTAGGAAGAAGGGGATTTTTCAAATATTGCCGATTTTTGATTGCGTAGTATGTGCACATTCCTTGTGTTGTCTCTTTTGAATAATAGTCCTTTTTCTTTGGGCCATAAACTATCCCTTGATAGTGAAAACTGCTCTAGGTATAATAAAGGACAACACTTTCTGAACGTCCTGTCCGTGGCAAGCTATTTCATTTCTATTCTATTTTATTCAACTAACAACTCATAGTCATCTTGCTTTTTGTGTGTTAAAACCAGGAGTTTCGTACCAAAAAGAAATTATGACTAGCTGAAAAAAAATCTTGTACAATTTTTAAAAGACTTTATGCAGAATTTGTTGAGGATTGATGTCCTCATGTAAGAAACTTCTGAAAAATTTAATAGAAAATTAAACTGGCTTTTTGGAAAAAACTGGTTTCAAATTTACAACTAGCTATTAAAGTATTCCATTCTTTCTTCAAATTTAAAGAATTTCTGTCCCGGAATAGAGACTGTACTTTTTCTTGAGAAATTTCGCTATCCTTTTCACCATGTCTACGTACAGTTTCTCATACAGAAGGAGCCTATCAATGTACAAAGTCATAAATTTGCACAAAAAGGATGGCAACAGAATCTCTTAGAATTCATTTGTCCAAGATATTTTATCAGATATCTTTCGGACAAGTCTACAGTTTTAAGCACATGTTCAATACCTTATCATAATTCCACACGCTGATGTCTATCTTTTGCAAATGATTTTGTAACTGCAGGATAGAGGCAGGAGCAATTAGCTAGCATTAAGCTAGCAGGTGCTGAGGCACACCTTTACATTTTTCAAAGATATGCTGCAAAACGTTATATATAACTGTTTGATGAGCTAAGGCAAAGTTTTTCCGGGCCCGTTTTACAAGCCCAAAAGCTAATAAACTTTAGCACCTATTGACGCCTTTTTTTGCTTGCTTTTCCCGGTAGGTCCAATGGTAGCTAATCCACCACTGCTTAAAATGATCAGTGGCCTTTATTTTTATGATTTAAACTTACATCGAGTTTGAAAAAACAGTTGGAGTGGACCAAATTCTCTTCACTGTTGCGTGTTTGTGGCTTTTCATAATATTGCCTTATTATTTGATCATTTTGCGTAACTTATGATCACTTTTAGCATTACCTATTGGTGCCATACTGAATTCAAAGATATGGTCAGAAACAACATTTTCAAGATAAGAATAAATTTTCGGTAAACATGCTAGCTCTAGATAAAAAAATTGAAGAATGAACAATATCTTTCTGAATATTATTATCAGCAAATAAATCCTGCATCTTAAATGGCTTACAAAACAGTGGTTTGGTGGTCATAGGAAGAATTCCTTGTAAGAATATGTTGAACAAGCAATGTAGATAAAAACATGTTTATATCTATTTCGTTGAGATAACATAAGCCAAAATATGCTGGGAACCAAAGTTATTTCATATTTCAAGACTTAAAAACCTAAATATTTATTTTAATTTTGAAAATCTCAATTATTTCAGATTTCAAACACCTCTTATAGGGCCTCAATATTCATTACAAGATACTACTTGATTTCAATATATATATATATGTATGTGTTTGATTTATTACCGATATTCATTCAATTTTGTCTTGGCTCATTCAATTTAATCCTTATTCATTCAAGTTAATATTGATTCGTTCAATTTAATTTTGGCTCTATAGTTATCCTAAAAGGAATTTCTTCGGATGTTCGCTAGAAACACCATAAATAGGATTCTCGCGGATACTTTTCAGCATAGCTGGGGGCAAGTCTTTTTCATATGAACAGCCACTGAGGCTGGTGGGGCAACTGTCCCCCTTGTTAGTATGTATGTTACCAAGATGAAATAATAGAACTCTTATTTTATCTTGATGTTGCAAAAGGACCCTGTTTTGCAGTGCAAAAGAATATTTCATATGATAAAAAACCAATTAATGAGAAGGAAAATCAAATGATTTTGATTTTATCATTACTACCCTAGTAGCAGGAATGCAGCCATCAGAGTTACCGACTGCCTGATGATGACGTCACTACGTAACTGTCTTCCACAATTCTGAACACTGCTCCGTCTTTGCACCACAATTTCCTCATCCTCGTCCATTGTTTTATACAGAATCAACATAAATGATCGTAGAACACGTAAAAATGATAAATAAAACAGATGCTTCATCTTCTTCAATATTTCATGTTTACAGACCTGCTAACTATTCCGTTTTTGCCGAGAAACTCCCGATTTCGGCTGATTTCTCCCGCTCTTCAAGAATCTTATCTTTTTCTTTTGATTTCAAAACAGTCTCTCGATTTTTTCTTGTTTCCTCCCAATTTCGAAACCTATCGAAGATTTTTTTGGTTCTGATAAGAAAATTCTTGCAGACACCTTATCATTTTTACAAGAGAATCCATAAGTTGTTCGCTTTACTCCCCTGTATTCTGGCAATGAAATCACATTACCTCGAGGCAAAAATTCCTTGAAGGGTCAAAGTTGTCATTGTCAAAGCCGAAATTGTCAAAGCAGCAAAACTGTAGCCTGAGTTCAAGACCTCTAACTAAAAGTAGTTGGTTTTGGAGCTCAGGCTACAAAACTAGAATTCTTATACATATAAAGAAATCATTGATCCATCTCCTCTTACGTATGTCATGTACCAATCTCTTTTCTAACCTGACAAGTGACAGACCCTCATACAACGTAGTTGCTGGGGCTCTTGAAGTATCACGGGGGATAGGATTATCGTGGAAAAAAGTTCTGCCCTGCTCGGAGTTTCACCAAGGACCACGGAGCATATTACGGATTGGGGGGGCAAAAACGATTTTTTTGGGGGGAGGGGTAAGAATTCTAAAAATAAAGACTTAAGTGATTTTTTGTATCGTTATAAGTATATTCTGGAAATCAATGGGGGGTTAAGCCTCCTAAGCCCTCTGTTTCCGCGGTCCCTGAGTTTCGCGGTGGACGATAGCCGACAGGGTACAATAATATGGAAAATAGCCCGCGGCGAAAGGCCCGACGGAAAACCAAACACAATTTTCGTCCCTGGGGACATCCTTACTCTGAAATTGAATACAAGTATGGGTTTTATGCATTGCTTGTAGCGTTGTTTAAATGTTCATCTTTTTTTAATTCTCACAAACCTTCGGACAGAAGTTCCTTTTATACAAAATAGGTATAAATGCGGTGCTAAAAATAAGACAAAATCATGAAGAGAATTCAGCTACAAAACAGTCAAAGGGAGTCAACTTCTGAGCCCTTCTCTCACCTACATATTTTGTTCAATTTTTTTCCCCTTCATTTTCAAAACTTTTAAGGCAAAAGTGTCGATAACGTCACCTTTTTTAAGCAATCATTTACAATACTCAGAACAGCCAAGCCAAGCCATTCAGTCGTTTCTACGTCATTATGCTTCGCAAGAAACGTTTGAAAAACTAAAAACGTGGGATTTTAATTCTTAGCGCTGTCCTTAAAAAATTAATACAGCGCTATTTTGCAGCCTCATTTTCAAGAAGAGAATGAGCTTCATCTTCACAGAATCAAGACAGCTAAGAGGGCGTTTTGCACTGAGGTTAAAGTTATTGTGCTAAAATTTACGACTAAAAGAATGGTTTCCACTCAGAAATTTAGGCTTTTTAATGGAGCTGAGATCCCAACACTTGGCCTAGGGACCTGGAAAAGCAAGCCGGGGCAAGTTGAAGCGGCCGTTGCCGCCGCCATTGATTGCGGCTATCGACATATTGACTGTGCATGGGTGTATGGCAATGAGAAAGAAGTTGGGCATGCACTGAAACAGAAAATCGGAAAAGGGGTATGTTTACCTGGTGCTTACTGGTATTATGATGTTATTTGAATCTCTCTCAGAGACTGAGGGAGGGTGTATTTTGTAGATCTCATCTCATAATCAAATACCCTTATTGTGGCCTAGAGATGGTGATGCTGACTCACTTGGTCATTCCCAGGCCTTATTTTAAGGCTCAGTGATAACCAATCGGTGCAGTGATAAATCCAAAATGTGCCATGATAAATGGAAGATTGTGCTGTGATAAATTAGTTGAAACAGCAACATAAAGAATTCATACGACAAAAAGTAACAAAAAATAAACAAACAGAACATAACGGCAATAATATGAAAAGCGAAGCAAACAAATCAACAGTTTCTGGTGTATAATAGTTCTCACAGCTACTATGTTTCAAAAACGTCTTCTCATATCCTTTTCTGCGTCTTTTCTTTCCTTTTCTTTGACCATTTCACTGCTCCAAAATAGTTAATATGGACTTGATTGAGGGAGTATGACATTCATGCGGAGGGGAAAAAGAAGATTCATGATGGTATTAAAAACATTCAATCAAATTTAGCGGCACATGAGAGCACTTTGCTGAGTGTCATTTTCTGCTAGTGGGTCGGTTATTCAGAGATATTCTGCTAGTGGGTTGGTTATATGTGTATTTCTTGTGCTTTTATATCATCGTACAGAAAGAGAATTTTCAGGATCTTAAGCCTTTTTAAGGCCCCAGAGATGGCAAAATCTCATGAGCTTCCCGGGGGCTCTGCCCTGGACCCACTGGGGGGCTTACAGCGCCCCCAGACCCTCGGTTATTGCATGCTTGCCTCTGACACGCACTTTGCACAGCCTACCTCTAGAGGTAATCTTTTTATAAAACTACCCTGAATGTGAAGTGATAGAATTGCATTAAAATAAGGCCTGGTCATTCCTGTAATATTTGTCACGCAGGTAAATGCAAAGAATAGATTTTTGTGAAGTAGAATCAAGCAGAAATCAGTATAATGTCAAACAATTGAATATATGCAAAGTTGATTGGATTAACCTGCTGTCCTTCAGTTTCATAGGTCCAAAGAAATATCAAGAAATTTCCAAAAGTTGGAAGAAATATTTTAACTTAAACACATATATTATTTATTTTAAATTTTATAACTGAGCTCAAACAAGAAAAAAATGACTTTGCAATATTTTTGGCAATGGGAGCTACTTACTTCGGTGAAAAAAAAAAAAATCTAAATTTTTGTTATCCATTATGTCAAAAGTACAATAAAGAAAAACAAAAAAGTATGTTGGAATTTGTCTGGTACAACATAGAGCTTCTATTCTAAAGGTCACAAAGAATTTTCACCTTCAGGAGCTTAGGGTATAGTTTTCTTCGCATTTATTCTGTGATTATTCTGAGTTTTTGATAGTGTAGGGGAGGGATGTCCGAACTATGGCCTGCAGGCCATCATGGTCCAGTTTTTGCTGGCCCGCAACAGGTTCTAAAAATGTAACTAAATATGGTCCACTCATGAATGGTTAAAGGCAATTGATTCAACCTATCATAATAGGCTCATATGCATACCCTGAACAAGAACTTTCAAGGCAAAAAACAGTTGTTGTCGCAAAAAACAGTTGTTGTATAGGTACATGAAAGCCTTCTGTGTAAAGCAGGGGAGCCTGCACTCAAAAAGGGTGATTGGGGCAAAGCGCCAAGGAAAGGAGCAAGGCAATAGTGAAAGGAAGAAAACTGATAAAATTTGTGGGGGCAAGGGAGCCACTTCCTTCTTGTTAGGCAAGTGAGACATTAAATTAAAGGCATTAAATTTAGGCAAGTGAGAAAAGAGCAAAAATGAGAAAAAGGAGAGAAAAAACAGCAAAATCAATCTGTTGGTTTGGGCAAAAAGGGAAGCGCTGGACTGCTTTTTAACTGGGAAAATTGAACTAGGCAAACAAATTAGCTTTTTCAATAGGCAACTCTGTCAAACAGTAATTACTAGCACACCACCATTGGAAGACAAATTACCAGTAGCGTCACAACATGTCCACCCCAGTTTTCCCAAAGGTCATTTCGATTTTTGCACTTGCAAAAAAGCCACCGTTACGAAAAAAGCTGCTTGAGAAAGTTGCTTGCCCAAAGATTTTGAAATAGATAAAAATATACTAAAAAAGGCTTTTCCAAGAGTCTGAAGTTGAGAAAATTGTTCTTGTCCACCCCAGTTTTTTTGAGCTGGCAAAGCCACTGTAAAATATGATCTTTTGTTATCTTTTTTCAAAATAGTGGGGCCATGGTCCTTTGGCCAGGGGCGGACTGGCTAATTTTTTTGGCCCGGGCAAATTTCGATCAAACCGGCCCACAAAAATAGCAATTAAAAAACTCCTCGGAAAATGCAAGTAAATGTTAGTCTGTAAGTAAAACAAGTTTTTAAATTCAGTAATTGTGTGCATGGATGAATGCTGGTTAACAGAATATGGTTAACAGAACATGTTAAATATGTAATTTGCTGACTAAATAGTAAATAAACAAAAATTTTAACTCATTGGTTTGACTTTCTTTCTAAATACAGTAGCTTATATGTTGAGAATGTTCTTCGATCTTTCTTAATACAGTAACTTATATGTTGATGATGTGATCGTTCTAGATGTCATCTAACAGGTGTTTTTTTAAAAACATTAACGTTAAGGACTCCAGGTTTGGCTGCGAAAAATTACCACGTAATCTGTTTTCTATATATTTAAAGTGGAAAAGCTTCTATCACACGCAACCTGTGACAAATAATTTTCTAATCCTCCTGAAAACCACAATGATTTTCAGCAGCCCAAAAAATATCGATTTGTCAATTTCTGACTCCAAAAAGAAAACATGGGCACCCCTGTTGAAATTTTATCGTGTAGCACCATACACCTGTTGGGCGGGGGGTCCATTTGACTTATGATAGTATATGCCTAATAAATTTACCATAACTTGTATGAGTTTATTGAAAGGAGCAAGAGCAAGAGCCTGCTGTTTTTGTGACGTTTGTGGCTTTTGCTTGATAAAAAAAGCTTTGTATCGTAGCTGAATCCTTTTTTAAGTCGCGCAGCTTTTCCTCACGAAATTTCTGTGCACCACCTTTGGTTGAAATCTTCTTGCTCTTCCCTTGTTCTATGTATGTCCTCTTCATTGCTTCACATCACAGAGCAAATCGCTTAGTGAACTCTAATTTTTGGACTTTTAAATTTATTACATTTAGCAATAGCTTGTGCTTAGGAAAAAACATGACCAGCTTTAAGCAAAATCGGCAGGGATGTTACAGTATAATATGTTGCCAAAAAGGAAATACCGTCAAGAGAAAATATAGCAATATGTCAATAACATGTTCCCTGAAGAAGTGTGTTTGGGCTGCGGTGACAATAATAAATTCATAATTTTCATGGTTTTGGAGTACTCGCGTGTATATTTATTCTTTCCCACAAAGTCTCTGAGAATTCAAGGCAAACAGATCAACGCGTGGGTATACTTTTTTGCCTTGCGTTCACTTTTTAAGCTAATTTATTTTTTTGCACTTTAATCAACCGGCCCTCAAACCGACCGGCCCTTCGGGCGATCGCCCGAATAGCCCGACCAGCCAGTCCACCCCTGCCTTTGGCCAAGCTGAAGTCAAGAGGCCCTGGGTAAGATTGGGAAAGATCTCAACTCTCTATCTTTGCTGCCATTACAGTTGTAAATAAAGCTGAAAATTGTAATCCTTTTCTAGGATTTTTCTTTGTTTTCTTTTAGAAGTGCTACATTCTTGTTTGTTATTAATTACTTCATATTTATTATTTGTATATATAATTACATATTTATTCCTATTATAAGTCTGGATGTGTTCTTACACCTAAATACCATAACTTGTTGTATTGGACATTGAAGCTTTATATTTAGCTCAAATGCACAGTAAGAGGCTGGTTTTCTTAATGATTGTGACACTGACAGTTCACTTGGGTGCTGTTCTTTTGTACCAGAGAAAACCTTTGCTCATTTATGCATTCCAGTGACACAGAAGGGACTGTCTTTGCTTATCAAGTTGGAACAAAGTACACTGCTCAACAAAACATCTTTGTAACTTTACAGAGAGCTTTTCTTATATTCTGTCAAAAATTTGCCAGACAAAATTATAACAAAGTATGCAATTAATGGAAAAGTGCACAACAGTAGAGAATTCTGTTTATTTCTGTTAAAGGTGGAATAAAAATCTTTAGATTTGCGAAAAAGTCTGTTTGTAAAATTTGGCTTGATTTGCACGTTGATACCTATTACAGTCACTGGGAAAAACCTTTATAATCCTTTTAAGTTGGAATTTTTTGTTTTTAGCTATTTTTGAAAATGTGTTTTTCATTAGCATGAGGTAAAGAAACTTTCAGTTGAGTCCCCATCCAAGAGTTTTCAAGGATGAAGACTTATTTGCATTAAGGAATTTCTAAATTAGGGCTTATTTGTGGCAAGGGACTTACTTGAGGATTTATAGGATTATGTTTGCAGAAATATGCATTATGCATATTATTATTATCATTTCGAAAGCAAAGGTCATTTAAGTAGAATCAGCAAACTCTAATTAATATAGTAACTTTTTTTCAGGGTTTAAAAAGAGAAGACTTGTTCATTACATCAAAGCTTTGGAACACAAAGCATGGTGCAGAAGATGTTATGCCTGCTTTGAAGACCTCCCTAGAACTGTTAGGCCTTGAGTATTTGGATCTCTATCTCATTCATTGGCCTATTGGTCTGAAGGCTGGGGACAATCCATTTCCAAAGGATGAACATGGCCATTTACTCTATTCAGATGTACATTATTTAGAAACATGGGAAGCCTTGGAGAAATGTGTTGATGCTGGTTTAGTGAAATCAATAGGTAGGGTGCCAATCATTGTTTTATGGTGACAGATTAGGTTAACCCTTCTTTTGAAGATAAAGAAATTGGAATTTGTGAAATTGTTTGTATGTCAGCTGTGTGTATAATTCTGGTTGAAAATTCAAAAGAGTACCATTGCAATGCAGCAAAATCAGTTTTAGTTCTGTAGCTAAGCATCTCCTGTCCATTTGCTACCCTGTAATCTTCCTGTTAATCACTAATTTCTCTAAACATCTCTTGTATTTTGCCTGCTTGCTGTAGTGTCCTGTAGTGCAGTGTTCTCTATAGCTGAGGCCCTCAACTGAAAATAGGGGCAGTTATCCATATTGTGATATCAGGATGAAACTACTTAGACCTACCCTATTTTTCTTGTTCCAGAATTCTACCATAGCCTGGAAATTCAGAACTGCTTCATAATTTATTTACAGCATACTAATGGTTATAAAAAGGGACTTGACACTTTTACCCTAGTTTAGAAATAGCATTGGGTCGCAAATTTCAATACTATCTTTTTTCAGCATATTTCCTCACAAAATTTCGTAATTGTGTTGCCTGGTTTTTGTCTTGTGCTGCCTACAAGCATACCATGTTTTGATTTGGTATCATAATTTGCCTAATTATTGTTATATTTCAATTTGCCATGAAATAGCGGAAACACAGCATACTGAACTCCTTTTTATCCAACATTTTTCAGAGAATAAACGTCGGAAAATGACCGAAAGTAAGCAGGAAATTTATATCCAGGAGTGGATCGAAACCATCGTGAGAGGAAGAAAGACGCTTTTGACTGGTTCCTTTGTTTTCAGTATGCTGTGTTTCAGCTATTTCGTGTCATCTTCAAATTTGCAGTACCAAAAACTTATTTTATTGTTGTTCTAAGTGTTCCCCCGACAAACCCCAAAAAGAAGGCAGCAAGGCAACCCACAAAAGGACTCCACTCAACATGTCTGGAAGGCAATAGATAAGGATGAAGCTGCCAAGGCAATCCAATTGCACAATCTTAATCCTGAATTGTCTCACCTATAGTCAAAGTCATAAATCTGTGTGGTGTTGTAAATTCAACTTCAAGACGCTTCATTATTTGCAACTGCTAAAATTTTCTGCCATTCCAAAGGCTGATTTTACCTTTTTCATATACCCCTTTGCAAAACTGGTTAGTTTTGGCTTAAGGAATAAGAGCATTTCCAGATTTGAAAAAGTGCACTTTTCATAATCTATGTTCTATATTTTGAGTATGTTTTTGGTAAGCAAACTATATATTATAATTAAGGTAACTTTTTTGTTTGCAGGATTGTCCAATTTCAACAGCTTGCAAGTCGAGGAAGTGTGCAGCAAAGCAAGAATCCAGCCTGCGGTTCTTCAGGTCGAATGTCATCCATATTTGAATCAGAGCAAGCTGATCGAATTTTGTAAAAAGAAAAATATTGTTGGTAAGTCCTGTCAAATTCTTCTGCTGAAAATTTTAGCATAGTCATTTTTGTCCTGTTTCAATTAGGTTTTAATAAAGGCTGTATAGATAAGAGATTATCATTAAAGGTTATTGTTAGATAGTTAAGTGGCTAAAGCCATCTCTAAATCGAAACTTGGCTAATCCAGACGCTTAAGTGTGATACCAACCTGGACACTTATTGATTGGCTAATAGTTTATTGATAGATGGCCATTTTAGTATCTGATAATTGCCTATGAAATTATACTAGAGATGCGTTGCAAGCAATGAAGCAAAATCTCATCAACCTTCACTCCCTTACTTCGAAAAAACCTTTTGAATTCACTATGTTAACGGTTAAAGGGTAAAACAATTTTATTAGTTTTTTTGCAATTTTTTGTAATTTTTTTGACTTTGAGATAATGTGTAAACAAAATAAGAGGTGGTATTTGCAAGCAGTGCAGCAAAATTTAGAATTGCTTGTTTGCTCTCTAGTTTTCTTATTAGAACTAGTTTTCTAGTTAATCTCCTTTGGCTTATTCAACTCGGCAACGCTGAGCAAATAATAAAGATAAAAGCAAGTCAGTTCTTTGAAATGTAATTAGAAAATGGCCTAGTTGTTTTTGCCTTTATTGGGCGTTATTTACATTTTGTTCTTTTATCTTTCTCTACTTTCAATTCACCATTATAGCAAATGCCGAGTTGCCTCCTTTCTCCAAAACAATGTTGAAAAGGTCCCTCAACCATCCTAGTCTTAGAAAGTAAAGAACAATTGCGTTCGGTTAGAGTATGTCTTTGAATAATTCAACATTGTTTGAAAGGGTAGAGGGAAAATTGTTAAAATGCGTTTAGTGTTTCAAGACATTTGGCAGGCATTATTGTTATCCCGGGCTTCAATTATTGCCAAAAGTTCTTGGAACACTCAGCAATTTGCGTTGTGTTTTTATATTTTTCAATTTTTCCCCGGATACTCCCATTTCCGCACCCCTTCCCCCTAAACAATGTTGATAATTTAGAAAAATATCATAGAAGTCACGGAAGAAAACATTCTTCCTAATCCCCTAGACGTCGTTTTGTAGTGAACCAACATTGTTCAAAGGGGGAAGGGGAATGGCTGAATTTGCTCTGGAAAGATGACGTTATTGTACTAAGACTTTTGGCAGGCATTGTTGCTTTTGTGAAGACGTTTCCAACCTGCAAATTATATCCAACTATTAAATATAATATTCGCTGAGAATAGTCATTCTCACTAAAGCTGCTTTTATCCGCTAGATATTCTACATATTTATTGATTTTTCATCTTTTTTAATGATTATTTTCCTTTTTCCATTTACCAGTCACAGCATACAGTCCTCTCGGATCACCTGATCGTCCTTGGGCCAAACCGGGCGATCCCTATCTCTTGGATGATCCAAAAATCATCAAAATGGCAAAGAAGCACAATAAATCACCAGCGCAGATCTGCATTCGATTTCAAATAGAAAGAGGAGTATCTGTTATACCAAAAAGTGCCACTCCAGAGAGAATCAAGCAAAATTCAGAGGTATGTATTTAGCTTTTACTGTCTTATTCGGACCTAATCATCTGGTATTCTATTTCATTTAAATAAAGTCATGTAATGTCGTTATATTAAGAATTCTCGTTTTTGCATCATATTAAGCTGTATGCTTACAAGCAACAAATATTACATGCATATTTTGAATTCCTCAAATCCTTGTATTGGGGATATGCCGAGTTTTTAGCTGTTTAAAATGCATGTCATTTCTAACTTTAGGGAAACACAGGCGTAAACATGATTTTCTCAATTTTTCCATCTTTTAATTCGTTAGCTTTTTTTTGTCTCCCAAAAGTTTTAATCAAGAAAGTTGATATTCATAAAAATGTCTATATAAAACACAGTCTACAATAAAATGATAGAGATAAAGTAAAATCGAGATACTGATAAAATTGAGCGGTTTAACATGAAACTAATTGGTTTTCTCAAAATGGCACACGAGGGAAGAAATTTCGGAATTTGAAAAGTGTCATTTTACGCCAAGTAACTTACTGTATAGTTTTTGCTTTTTATGCCCTTCTATCGTGGAGTAGTTCCGTAACCTTAAATTTTCCTTAAGTTCTCCTCAGTAGCTAACTAGCATTTTCCTGTATTTTACTTTTCTCGGGTATTGATTTTATCATGAGGAAAATCTGCCCTTGATCACTGTTTGAGATTTGTTAGAAGAATGAAAAAATAGTTGGAAAAAATAGATGTCATCTAGCCAGTGCGCAGTCACCCGTTTTTGCAATCAAAAAGCCTGCGCACTGAACTCGACAATCATTCTGCATGCTGGCTACAAGCACGGGGGGAGGCTTATCCATGGGAAGACTTTTATTTGTTTGCTTGTCTCCCCAGTTAGGTCAGTAAGGGAATGTTTTGACCGGGGATAGTTTTATCAAACCTCCAGGTCTAATGTCAGAAATTTTAAAAATGACGAAAAATCCTTTGTTGATTTTTTAAATCAAATTTAATTATTTCTCTATATCTTATTCAAAAATTCGTGCGTCACTTAAATTCTCTCTTTAAAATTGTTATGCTGAAAAATTATTAATCGACTGTGTAGGGGACAACACCTCTAATTAATCTAAAATAAGGTAGACCCTTGATCATTATTGGACAATGATTAACCGAGCTTACACAAGTTTATTTTATGAGAACGCGGAGAATTCTCAGTACGAATTATTTCATTTTTTGAAAGTTGATTTAATTTGGGATAGTAGAAATTTGTAATATTGTAGCATACTTAATGAAGTACCACCATTTCCAGTAATTTTCTCAGTTTACTAGTGAAAAAAGAAAACAGAAAGGAGATCTATAAACAATTCTTCTCATTTGATCGGCATTACCGAAATTACACTTCGTATTAAAAGCCTCTTGAATTTAAGCGGAAGAGAGATTTAAAAATTCAGGAATTCGTAGAAATATGTTTTGAAATTTTTGAATTTGGACCATGCTATTTAAAAGACAGCTATAGAATACCCCAGAATCAGTTAACGCAGTTCTGACCACTGATAAATGACCAATGACCAGAAGGGTTTAGTTTGCAGACATTTAGAACTGAGACCAAATTACAACAAATAGGTAAATTGAAAGAGCTCCATGGGCTATATCTCAGCTGATGTAGATTATTTTCGATTGTTTTATCATTCCTAGAATTATATATGGCGTTCATACGGATTAAGTGATCAAAATTAAGAAATCTGCAAAAGACTTCTGTGATATCATTAATTTCTAATTCTATAATATATGTTCATTTCAAATTTCTTATAACGTAACGCTGAAATTAGCAATATTTCAAAATTAAAACCTATTCACTTGACATTATTTGTAAGAAAAGGTAACAGAATTCCACGAATTCGGTTACCGTAATGCCTCGAATAAGCGCTCGGGCGCTTATTTAATTTTTTAGGCTCCAGGGTGGGCGTTTGCTCGAGGGAAGCGTTTAATCGAGGGAGGCGCTTATTTAAAAAGTAGATTTGGGTGCAAATTGTGTTGTTCATTAATCTTTTTTGTTGAATTGCCATCCAATTATGGTTTCGTTGAAAATTCGAATAAGCGCCGTTTCTGAAGGTTTAAGGATGGGCGCTTATTCGAGGGGTGGGCGCTTATTCGAGGGGGGAGGGGCTTATTCAATAACTTCACCTCTAGGATGGGCGCTCATTCGATGGGTGGCTCTTATTTGAGGGGGGCGCTTGCTCGAGGCATTACGGTAAACTCGTTCTATCTTGTGCTTTGGTATGTATCGGACAGACTTTTTTAGCAAATGGCTTTCCATTTTTTAATTTCTTCTGTCTTTTAATTTCTTCTGTTTTTATAACAGACTTAGTAGACTGTTAGCTGTTTGTCTAACCAGCATATCCATATCAAGAATAAATGTGTTCCTTCGTGACTATTAAGATTCGTTAGGAAATGCGCCCCATATGCTAAGTATAATGTTAGTTTCCTTGATTTATTCGCAGGTTTTTGACTTCAGTTTGACAAAACATGAAATGGAAGAGATTGAATCGTATAATGTCCCATGGAGAGCATGTATTCCAAAAGTAGTTGTAAGTAAAATTTCATTGCTTTTGCATACAAGTTAACAATTCCGCTTGTTGACTAGTTGGAAATCGTTATCTTTAAGCCTATCTGTAAAACAATAAAATCATAATAATTTATCGCTTGAAACCGTTTATATAAACTATACACCTACTTTTAGGCAGTTTTTAGAATTTGCGGACAATTATGATACCAAGAGCTTCTTACATGTTTCTTAAATTTTTTTAAAATCAAGAATTTTTGTAAACGTACTTCCAAGGTACAGAGATGAAATTAATAAAATGTGTTAATTACAACAATAATTTGAAAAATTTTTTGCGGCACAGAATTTGAAAATGGCTTTGAAAAAAGCAAACATTTTACAACATACTAAAAGCTTTTTCGTCTGACACTCCTCAGAGCATAAAACGTCAGAACCAGGGTCCGAAAGAACACGATGGAAAATATATACCCAGTTGGGGATCGAAATAGGCCAATCAGAAAAATACAACAATAATTAGCATGTACAGTACATCATCAGAACTTTTAAGTTGAAACTCCTTGTGTGTGTGGTTTATTGACAGTGAATGCAATCTGCATGTCAATTGTTGCAGTTTACAGCAATACCAAAACTGTTTTTAGTGCACGGAAATTCCAATTTTTCAATTTACAAAAGTTTCTTAGCTTTTCAAATTCAGGTAGGGTGGTTTCTTAACTTTCCAATAACTGAGCCTACCGTTTTTAAAAGCCATTTCTTATAAAACGAAATACTTGTATGCTCTGTTTCTGAGGCTCTGGCCTCTTTGTGTTGAGACCTGGTTTTGCCACACAAGAAGAGATCTCTAATATTTCTTTTGTTTTTGGTAACCAAATGATAACAGTTTTCTTGCAACTATGAAATAGGTTGATGTTTGTTTTCAAATAAAATATTGCACCTTGCTACTCTCCCGCTAGCAAATTTCTTTGATTTCCTTTTTAAACTATGAGAAAATTGAGAGAATCGCACAAATTTTCGTCATCAACAACTCAATAGATTTTTTAACTGATAAAATATATCAGTTTTGAAAACATTAAATTGAGTATCAGAAGGGTTATTGTTTTGAGATGGTGAAATAATCTTGATAAATTTTGATTCGTATATTGAAGAACATTGAAAGTGGTTTGATAAGAGCTGATCAGAATCATTGTGATGCAATGATCAAGAATTAATTTAAAGAGAAGCATTTCCAAGATCTCCAAATCGTGTTAAAAAGCCAGTTAACGTGAAACTCCTTAACACGATTTAGAAGCTTAGGAAGGTTAAATCTCGCGCTTGGAACTTTCAGAGTCAGTTCAACTTCGGGTGAATATATCTCCTGTCACGTAATGTGGTGGCAGGTCAGTAATTCAAATGCTTTCCGGAAAGAAACCACTGTAAGGCTGATTTGTATTGGTTTCTTTAAGTTAATAAAACATGTTAACGGAAGTGGGTTGTGTCTTAGCTATTATCTTTCCCACTACAGGTCTTATCAAATATAACCTGGATACAATGCATTTTGATATGCAACTTTGTGCCCGTTACACAATATCTTTTCTAAAACCATGTGAATATCCAGAGTGTTTTTGTAATTTGATTGTGCTAAACTCAGTTTGACATGACATTCAAAAGAAGCGCTAATATTCTTTTTTCTGCTGGAAAATTTCATGTGGTTCATTCAATTTATTACCTGTGGCGCTTAGAAGAATAGCAAAGAAGTTATCCTTGCTTGGGTGTTTACTGCAATTTGATATTTGATATCTATGCTTGATAGTAAAGTCATAAATGATGAGGGAATTATTTAAGACGTTTTCTAACTTTTGACGAAGAGACGATACATTAGACGCAAGAAGAAATTGATTCAAAAATTATGTTTCCTTACTTTTCTGTTACTGTTGCGTTGTTTGCGTAGAAGGGCTCAGAAAATATTTTAAACAAGCTTTGATCAAGTTAAGGTATAAAAATTTAACCTAATTGTATCTACAGTGCGAGTTTAATGTTTCCTAATACCCTTCGCCATTTCTGTTATGAAGTTTGTATTATTTTAGCTTTCCCATTCGTTTCAGAATTCCTTCTATATATATAGATGTATAGCCTGGAGTATTCTTAATGATTAAGACTTCAAGTGATTTTCTATGTCGTTGGTTGATGACCACTTTCTGATTCAACTTTCTGATGGTCTGATCAAATGTGTCATGCAGGGAGAAAATTTTGCAGCATTTTCGGAGACCTCGTATCGTTGCTTCAAATGATTAAGATTACTTCTAGTGGAGAGAATATCCAGCATTCTTTGCTGTTCTCTCAAATGCAGCTGGCCAGTAAAGAGCCGTAAGAGGGCTTAGTCCTCAGTGGAAATTTCTAGGGGACTCTAGCCTCCAAACCTCTTCGTATGTGTTGTCTATTTGCATGATCAAGCTGTAAATTTGCATGCTTCATACCTGGGTCAGATTGTTTAAGAGTTCTATTATCTTTGTGTAGGTTGATGGCAAAGAAGTTGCTAGGGATAGGAAGCACCCTCATTTTCCATTCATGACCGAATTCTGATGTTGAAAGTTAAACTGTTACGGGAAGACAAAGAAGGTATTTTTTGAATCAGATTTTGTATTGGACGATATATGAATATACATTAGTATTACTCTAAATGGCTTATACTTGCTTAGAATTTTGTAGATTTGATTATACTGAAGCCTATGATAGCTTGATACACCAAATGGTTTCGCTGCTTGCGTCTACTCTTCTTGTAACTATTTAATAGGACGATGCAATTGCGCAATATACTGCGCTGTGAAGCAGTCGTGCAAAAGCAACCTTTTGCAGCATCATACCATTGATGGCATAATACGATTTAATGTGTAAGGCCATTGATGGCATAAAGGATATCTTAGCAAGATCTGATATGCGTATTTTAAAACTGATGTAAGATTAGTTAAGATATATATTGTGTCAAGTAGCCTTTGGTGATTAAATATGAGAACTGTGGCTGAAGCAACCAGTTTAAATCATTTACCAGATGGTTGATCACCCTGAACATGCATAACAGCCATCCCGTGTTTCAGCCAAGAAATGTATACACCGTGATGCAAAATATTGCAGTACCAATTTTAACTTTTCTTGTTGTATAATGTAACCATAGATAACCACGGTTTACGAAGTGTTACAATGTGTTACAAAATGTTTTATATTGAATGCATTGCAGCATTTTGTAACTGGATATCACTGGTATCCCCCCACATTTCTATAATATGGTTCTCGAGATTTGTCCAAAAACGATGTAAAACTCATGGGGGGGAGGTAGTATACTGTATGCTTGTGTCAATAACAATTTTAAAATGATTTGCTATTTACCGTAGCCAACATGAGTCAAATAATGGGGAAATAACAAAAACGGCGTTTCCCCGCATTTGCGAGTGTTTGAAGGGCGTGGTCCTAAAAATTTTCTGGGGCCCCAGACCCCCCTCCACTGTTGCAGCCCTGGGTACGACACTGACAGTAACCAGCAAGAGGGGTTTAGAGCTTGATGCTGTCACCTTATCGCTGCTTCTGCTTGTCTGCGTTAGTGGTAAAGCATGTTATGGTGAAATTACTAATATTTAGAAGACATCCAATTGTGGGCTGTTCAACCTTTTAGGGGTTAGCTTTTTATCAACGCTCTTTCCAGTGGTGTAGTGCTGAGAAAATAACAAGGGGGGCTCTTGCACAAAATTTTGCGAAAAACAATAGCAAAAGTGAAAATTTGTCAATTTTTGGCATTTACAAATTTTACACCCCTGGCTCTTTCTGTCTGAAAAATCTCTTTCAATCTTTACTGTTTCACGGGGGCTCCGGAGCCAATTTAGTAGGGGGATCTACATTGTCAATTCCTGTCCTTGTGATTTTCATGTTCTTAGAAGGCTGAAAATGTTGAAAGAAATTCGTTGAATGTAAATCCACACCGGTGGAAAACCAGAGAGAATCAATGTTTTCGCTAAGTGAAAAGTGTCTTTTGATTCAATCCCTCAGCACCATGACGTATAAGTTATAATGGCTTACAAAAAACTGAATCTTGCAAAGTAAATTACAATGGCGCCTTTTCGGTATGACGCTCGTTGATATTCTGTTTAAGCCGCCCCTGATGCACATTTGTAGGGTTTTCTATTGCTGTCATATAGCAAGTTTCATAATTACATTTCCTTAAACAAAGTTATAAGTTGGGGGTGAGATAAAGGACAAAACAGAACTAATTCAATGTGTTACGAAACTCAATATAATTTGAATCAACAAAGAACCAGAGCACTAATGTTCTTTATTCTTGCAATCTTCAATCTTCTCAGCTTCCGGAGCGCGATAAAGAGCTTAAAAGAAGATCGCTTGTTTAGCAAGACCAACGTACAAATAAGCGGAACACATATCACCTCACCTGCCTTCTTATAAACCTTTGTGACCTTGCTATCGACCATCTTATATTCCAGTAGGAAGAATTTATTTGAGGATAAAAGAAGGGAGGACAAGCGCTACGTATGTCAGAGATGATTGAGAGGCAGCCGGTGTGCACCACTCTTTTGTGCCAGCTCATTATTTTATGCAAAAATGAGAAGTTTTATAGTAGCTAAGTTACAGTAGGTAACCGTTTTTTGGGAGATGAATATTATCAGGATGTTTCAGTAATGGGATGTACCCGCTATGGGAGGTACCTGTTATGGGGGTAGCTGGTATGCAGAGTTGTCCGTTATGAGGAGGTGTCTTTTATGAAAGGTGTCCGTTGTTAGGAGTTGTCCGTTATTTGGAAGTGGCCTTTAATAGACGTTTACACGGTAATGAAATAGGGCCAATGAAATGTGATAGGACTAGAAATGTCGTTTCTGTAGGGTGGCATTAGCACTCAAACAGCCTTTTTGGGGACTGGGGCAAGTAACTGAGACGAGGGGCAATGATGACGTCACTGCATAACGTATGGCCTATTGTTATTTTTATTTTTTGGAAGGGCCCATTAAAGTATGCTACTAATGGTTTTATGATAATACTGAATTTAAGCTCAGAAGGGATTTGAAAAGTTTTAAGATGACCTGCGCAATTTGGCTAGTACCTAACAGTCACTGATTTTGTCCTTTGGCGTGCATTTCCCTATTTAGCCATGTGAGTGACATTTCTGATTTTTTTCTTCCATTTTGTTCATAGATTGTATGCATTTTGCTTAGGCTAATGCAGTCATTAGCTGAATTAACTTCTAAACGAAAGCAACAGGCTTATTGCAACCCTACTGAGTATGAAATATGTTATTGACGTCTATTGAAGAATTGAATGCTGCAATTCGTGCAAAAATTATTTGGAACAGGCAACATAACGAGTCATGTTTTTTATACATTTGCTCCTATTCTCAATTTATTCGATTCACGCCGCTGAACAATGATGATGATGTATTGTATTATTTGATTTATTCAATGTAGTACAATTGTGGATAAACATTAATTCATACTAACATTTATTCATTCATTCATTGATTCAGAGCTACTTCATTCATTGCAAAATGACACGTGCATTTATCCTTCAGAATTTTGTGCTGTTTTGATTTCATCTTCGAGTGAGTTCTGGTTTTTTCGGCTCATTGAAACAGTGATCTGTTTCACTAATTTGTAGCTTTAACCTTTGGTATCAAAAAGGGATTTTGAATACGAAGGTCATGACTCGTTAGTTTTGGCGGAAAATAGTCCTTCATAAAAGATTTGATTTCTGTTGCAGAGTTTTAAATACTTCGAGTGCTAAGACTTTTATTGGTTGAATGTAGGTAGTATTTGTGAATATCGTACAAGTAGCATTAGAAGAATTACTTTCTTACCGACCACCCCCCCCTCCCCCAGGCTAACATTATTTAAAGGAGGAGGGGGATGGTTGCGTACGACCCTCTAAAAGGCGATGGCGCTGCAAGACGCTTTGCAGTTACTGTAAGCTAATTGCATTGTTTTGAATCGTGGAAAAAGAATGAATTGATACGCAGATAGGGATAACTGACATAAGAAAAAAATCTACTGAATAATCCACTCATGGAAACAAGTCGATACTCCTTGGCATTAACGTCAACATACGGACTTGGGGTAGAAAAGAAGCCGGTAGTTGTTATCGATATAGGGATTTAAGCAGATCTAAACTGGTTTGTATCGTTTACACGTGGATTTATGTGCGAAAATAAATGACTGTAGTTAGTTAGAGTTACTGAAATTAAGCCAGTGGTTCACTTCTTCTCAGTTGACTTTATTCTTTTCAACGCCTATTATTTGTCCAAGTATTATTTGATACCCTGAGAGTTAATATATGTAGACGTGGAGACCGCTATGGAGAGCGTAAAGGGTGTAACAGCCCATGGAAAAAATCCTGTTTCAAAAACACGAAGTTTTTTGTCATCAAAGCGTGCTTTGTTTTCAAATCTATCGGCAACTAAAGGATAGCTTACCCACTTTTTCGGCAAATGGGACCTGGTACCCCCCCCCCCCTTGAAAACAATAGCTAGCGACGGCCCTCGTGATGATACTCATTAAACTTGCTGCAATAATTTCTGCGTAGCAGGATCGCCAGCAATTTGCAGCATCTATTGATATCTTCTTTCAACGAAAATACCCTGCATCAAGCACGTTGCTTTTGGTTGAATAATTGATGAATAATGCTAAATTTCCGTTTTATCTGCAACTTTCCCTCCCACGTTTTCCCAGAACGTGTTCTGCTTATGTCGAGTTGTTGGCAGTGCATATCAATAATGCAAGACATTTTCCTGCTACGTGGCCTTTCGTGAGTTTTTTCTCTCTTCAATGATTATTGTTTTCTCGTCAAAATGATTCATTTCCAGCTTGCAGACGAGTTTGCAGAACAATCTTCTCGTTGATGACCATCCCATTGCTTCTTGTCGTTGATTGAGTTTGGCTGTTATTAATTCAAAGCCACATGTTCTTGATTCACGATAGCGCCAGGATATCACATCCAGGCAGTTCATCATAATTTCCCATTGTGCTACCCTGCCTTCATGCTTTGAGATATCCATCTGTTTTCCAGAAAGGCAGAGAAAGTCTTCGTGCTCTCAAATTCTCTGCCAATATCTCAATTTTGAAAATAAGATATTCTCATTTTTTACACAATAAGCTTCACAACGAACTTCAAACGGTCTCTTCGAAACGAATTTTATATTTGAGAGGGGGCTGCCAATTCAGTTGCTTCCAATTCAGCACTCTGTTAAAAAGACAAATGAAAAACAATGTAGAAATTATTGGTGGGTTACCTCCAGCCCCCAGCCCCTGTCAGCCGCAGTTTTTTCTCACGAAATTCCTGCCACTTGTCGCCCATTTCATGTAGTTCCTTTAGATTTCTAGATATCTTATATAGCCACCAATTAAAATTAAGGGAGGAGGGCAATATTTATTAAAGATAAAATACATAAACACGGTTTAGCGCAGAATATGGAGATACCGTTATATATATCTGAAATAGAGAAAAAATTGTAGAGCCAGTTTTTTTTGTATGCATCGTTAAAAGCAGAAGCATGACTGTAATACTGATACACTTTTAGGTCATAAATAGAGAATCGCCGTTAGGCCAAAAGTATAGAAACACTGATGAATTATAAAGTGTAGAATAACTTTCAGGCTTAAAAAACAGAAAAAATACAGAAACACTGTTAAGCCCACAATATCGAAACTCGTATGAATTCAAAGATAAAGTAGCAAGTTGTGGGCCTAAACACAGAAACACC